GGCAAGTACGAGTTACGCTTGTGCATGTAATTAACGATTATAGACAACATTTACAGTTGATTATAGATTAGATATATATGGTGAGACAAAACAAATTATACTTCTCAAAATATGAATAATTAATGAAGTAATTTAAAATAAATGCACATTAAATCTGTATTTTTAAATCAGCCGTTTTTTTGTCAATTTTGCTCTTGATTTCCTTTTAAAATACAAGTTTGTTTGAGAAGTAAGTTTAGATACTCTTAAAGGAAATTGGCGGTATATTTTTTTATTGTGGTATTGGAAAGAACTTTTAAAATGATATATGAAGTCCCTTTACAACTTTTCAGTATCATTCTTCGTTTTCGAAATATCTCCATTTGAAATAGCGGGCAGTCCGCCATCTTGGACTAGTGCATTCAATATGCATTACGTCACAACTGGGATAGAAAATAAATTTTTATCTTGCCAATTGAATCTCCAATTGAATCTAGAACGTGATTTTTTGTTCTCTTTCAATTCCCAAATAACTCGCAACATGCATTTTAGAAACTTTTCAATAAAATCCAGTCAGCAACAAGGAATTTTTAATAGATTTATCCCTGTTGTGACGTCACTTTAATTTGGTCAATTTTCAGACAAAGTTGGCATGCTATTTCAGATACAAATATTTAAAAAAGTAAGCAAGATAAATATAAAAATTTGTAAAGGGACTTCATATATAATTTTTAGTTCTTTCCAAAACCACAATAAAAAATATACCGCCAATGTCCTTTAAAGGTAGGTTACAGTCCCTTCTGCGCGTGCGCGGGCTTTGTTTACGTTTTTTGTTTTGATCCACATTAATTATATAAGATGAAGTATATGACGAGTTCAAAGTAACAAACCACATAATTTGTGACCGAGGAGTGCAATGTTTGACAATACTTCGCTTCATTTCTTGTACATTTCTACACTGGAAATTTTTGTACACAATATAAACACAATCTTATACTGTAACTGTTTAACTGTAAAACTTGGGGAATAAAGTTATAAAGAGGCCGCTTTGAACGTTGTGTGACTTGCTATATCAACAGCTGGGGCGGCGAACCGAAATCCCGAAGGTGTGAGTTCGAATAATTTGTGTTTACCTTTGGAGTGTCTCATCATGAAAATATTTAATGCGGTATCGATCAATCCCTTGAAACATGTGGCCAGTGTTGTTGTTGTCGAGTGTCCCTATATGTCGTGTGTCGTGGGTTAAAAGTCGTGTGTCGTGAGTAAAGTCGTGGGTAAAGTCGTGGGTAAAGTCGTGGGTCATAGAATGTGCTAAAAACGCATTTTTTCACGAAAATATTATTTTATTTTTAATATTTTTTTCGTACTTTTTCCTTTTACGCGCTACATAAATACGGGAAAATTTAACGCAACAAATCTCCAGTAATAAAATAAAATAAAATACATGCTGTCTCCTGTTCTTATCTGTAGTATAACAAGTAAATATTTCCGTTTCGTATTGTCTAATAGACGTAATAGATGGATCAGTTTGATGATAAAATGTATTAAGTTATAGGATATACGTTTATTAGCTTCGTAACTGTTATAGTCCCTATCACGAACGTCGCGAATAACTATGTCGATTGCACATGTCTGATACAAACGGCTATAAATTCTACTGACGGCTTTTCAGCCGTAATACATATAAATGCGCGCATTGTAGTCATATACATATCGCCGTTTAATTTAGCTTCAAAAACTTGATAAAAAACATGTTATTCGTGTTAGTTCCGGAGCGCAATGGTGTGATCGTTGCCAGAGCACATGCAAAGCCGCCTCGGTATATATCATGTAATGTATTAAACGGGAAATCTTGCTTATTTCAGTCTAATAAAGTCAACTTTTTTTCTTTGATAATGTGCGCAACATGCTGCGCATTTTACATTTAACAAAATACAGCAATTTTGATTTTATCAAGTTTTTGAAGCTATATTAAACGATATGTATATGATTACAATCCGCGCATTATGTGTTACGGCTGAAAAGTGTAGAGGTATCATCTTCTGTCAAAACTATAACAGCAGCTAGCGCGCTCGGTCGGCAAGTAGCCCAACAAAAAGCCAACATCGCACAAATCTCGGCACAAATCATGAAATCATTTCGGTTTTCAATCGCGAAATCCCAAATCATAGCAATTTATGGAATATTCAGTCCGAACGCTACATATACATGAAATGTTTGTCTATCGGCTTTATTAAAGGCCACGAACATATACTAGGAGATAAAATAGCAAAATTTGAGACCCGAGCGTTGGCCAACTTTACAGTCGGCTTTACACTCATGAATAGACTACAATACAGCGCGGTGGCAATTTATAGCTCACTATGTTTGTATCAGACATAGGCAATCGACATAGTTATTCGCGACGTTCGTCAGATAGGAACTATAACAGTTCCAAAGCTAATAAACCTATATCTTATAACCATAGTCACTCAACTGAACTTAAGACCGACATTTTATCATCAAGCAATACATCAATATATAGACTTATTAGACTATACGAAACAGAAAGTTTAATTGTTATACAATAGATAACAGCAAGAGACAGCATGCATGTATATAATTTAATTACTGGAGAATTGTTGCGTTAAATTTTCCTGTATTTATGTAGCGCATAAAAGGAAAAAGTACGAAAAAAAATATTAAAAATAAAAATAATATTTTCGTGAAAAAATGCGTTTTTAGCACATTCTATGACCCACGACTTTACCCACGACTTTACCCACGACTTTACTCACGACACACGACTTTTAACCCACGACACACGACACACGACATATAGGGACACTCGTTGTTGTCATTATGACAGAAGCACTTGGCCTTGGGGAAAGCTTTTCGCTTGATGAAATTCGAAACAAGTGTGATTAAGAAAGTGGTTGCAGTTCCTGTCTTCGTGGCAAAGCCAAGGGCGAAATTGTTGACCGTGCAAAAGCTGGATAAACAGCTTTTGTTCAAGCTCGTGCGCACTATGGAGATGATTTCGTTATAAACAACAAAATAGTTCAATAGATTGACAGTGACGAGAGTACGAGACGCTAATTAAGATTATATTCAACTTTTTTGTGTTATAAATATGTATGTTTTGAAATTATGAACTGGAAGTATGAATTCATTGATATTACTCTCATATTGACACTAAATGATGATATTCTTGTGACACTGAATGATCAAATATTAACTTCAACAATTCTGGTCAATCTAGTGATCACGTTAGTTCATCATGTCTCTTCAAGACAGAGGACAATTGCTTGTCTCGCTGTATATATATCAGAGCTCATCAGAATGCTCATGCAGGAAACACTGATGAAATTTTTATTTACATCAACGAATCAGTCTTTCTTTTTCTTAACAGATTTATTGGGTTATATGATAATACAAATAATTCCTGACACATAAGAACCTGTTTAGGCTAACTTGGAAAAAATCTAGGTTCTTATAATTATATGCAGGGTTTTACTGTGTTGTCTGATTTCATGTCACAAAACAGGCCATGGGCATGGCAGCTTGTTGTGACAATATATATATGGGATGGTGGTCTTTGTGACACAAGATCAGGCAATCATAGTACAATATGAACTGGCTTGTGTTTCAGATTGCTTTAAAATATACTAGTAATTATTAATTGAGTTTAATTGTTTACATCATATAAGTTTCTGTGATCAAAATGTTTTATAAACTAAATGTCTTAGGCGGTGTTTTATGGAGGCGAGCCAGCCCGGTTACCTGAGCTAATTTAATTTAATTTTTAAACGTCCATTTTTAAACCTTACAACAAAGTGTGTTTAGTTAATCGAACTACGAATCAAATTTTATAATCGCTAACTTTTTAACAGCTATCAGCACCAAAAAATTCTTACTTTTGCTGAATTAACGTCGGCAAAAATTTGCCGGCCTGGGAAGTTGATAGGTCGGCATTTAGGTCGGCATTGCCGAATGCCCACCTCGTTTTCGAGGGCTAGGCTGTAAGCTGCTTTGATTAAAATATACTTTGATCAGAGAAACTTTTTATGTGTTTCTATTAAGTGAGCACGAGTTGCCCATGAGAAGACAGTCAAAGACAGTAAAGCACGGTCAAGTAGATTAATTTATATCATTTATCACTCTGACAATAAACACTCCAAATTGCTCATTAACACTTTTTCATTGACAACTCCTACTCACGTGTATCATGTCTTTAGGCCTTAATTATATGGGTTTCAGTTTGTAAATAAAAGAGATAGAACAGTTCGCATGTAACGATAGTGTATAATTAAAATTTAAAATAGTAAATAAAGAGAATTTTATAGTCATTAAAACCTCGATTGATGGGATTCAACAAGCGATTTCACTGAAGTATCCACATTGAAGGGAGTGAATAGCAGCTATGTTGGGTGAAATGTCCAATCCTTCTTGGATTCTTTTCTTGAAAACCTTTAGTAGAAGCTTGAGGATGTAGGTATATCATGGGGAAACGCAAACAGAAATGACACGCTCTCCATCGAGGAAAACAATAAAATAGATACACTTTGATACACTTTGGAAGAATCCCTGCTAGCGTGGTATTCTTTCCTACTCGTCATGTTGCCTCAAAAACTCGTTATTTGAAGGATTGTCGCTCAAAAAAGCTGAATATATTTTGGAAACTTCTAGCTTCACTCCTTCGCTTGCGAAAAAAATAACGCGCGTGTTATTGCCAGAAATGAGACTGGACCGAGTAAAAACCGAGATGCCCAACTTCCGGTGGAGTCCCCAGGCAAAAACAATCACACACTTGCGCAGAAGGGACTGTAACCTACCTTCAAGAAAGTGTTCTTCATATGCTTTCTAAATTTCTAATTCGAATTCGCCTGCCCTTGCATTTTCAACCTGCTTGTACAGATTTATAAATCAGAGGAAATACTTATTCATGTATAAACTATTACATATTAATGAGCGCTTTAATTGCCTTTGATATATATTCTAAACTTTCCAAAAAGAGAACTAAAAGTACTATAAAAACTTACCCCTGTTCTCCCGATTTGTGTGAGGTTTAGAAGTGTCTGCCATGCTGCATCTGAAATGCGCATCCGCACTTTAGCCAGCAGATAAACCCAGTCTGGCACACGTATAGATGAAAACAGTGCTGACTTGCTATCTTCCGAAAGAACAACTTCCATCGTCTCTTTTGCACCAAGTTGAGCAAACACCACGTTGTTGGCACCGAGAAGTATGCTGGAGACATCGGACTTTGTATCTTCTGAAGCAATGTTTCCCAACATTGAAAATACGTCTTCTCCATGTCCTAATGCCACTTCTTTTAACTCGTTTGCGATTTGCTCTCCCTTTATTTTCATCTGACGCCTTCTCTCCGGCGGCGTTATCTCGCACGAATTTAGGAGCTCGCTTGTTGATACTCGAGTATGTTCAGTATGCGCTGCCGCTGGGGTACTGACTTTATCATCCATCGAGCTGGCTGTACTTCGCAGGGATTTTATTTCAATATCTTGCCGTTCAATGTGGTTTAATAATATTGCAATGTTCCCAGTATCTCATGCTGATAATTCGTTGCTTTTTTTCTCGCAAAATATGCCATCGTCGCCGAAGGTAAAATTGGCGCCAAATTGCTCTAATGGAATCAAATTAACAACGCGTCTGATCTGGACTACAGGCTCACTGTTCACGAATTCGTCGTTCAGGTTGCGCTGTCTTAACGCCAGCGCCAAAACACCGAAGGATGAGATCGCTGTTACCTCGCTGCTTCGCCTACTGCCAGCATTAAACCAATTATATGGTGCTGCCTTGCCATTACTGCCACAAACATCATCTATCCTTATCTGCTGAATTTCGTCAGATAAACTGTTGATTATGCCAAGGTCTTCGTGCTTTCTATTAGTCCGATACCCGCACATCGACCCATTGTACGCATACCAATTTCTCTCTCGATCAAGAGAACTTGAAAATATGCGGTGGTAGCGTCTCATTGCTACGTTCTAAACATTGCTCTATGGCGCTACGATAAGCTAACACATAGCAGACAAGGTTCACTCTGTTTTCGAATTTGGCGCGCGTACGCGGTTTATTTATTTCTAGTACGCAATGTAATATTACACGAAGATCATTCATTGAATAAATTTGACATTTTAACTAGTTACGTTTTTAAATATTAATAAATCGCTTCCTACATAGATAGAATATCACAACAGCTTGCCTAATTGTGTCTAATGTATATTAGTACAATGTCATCAATCAAGCACTTTGCGCACTACACAAACACCTGAAGACTTAATCCCTTCACACGTCGTGCGGGTTGTAATGCAGCTGGTATAATATTAATGTAATAACCCATGCACTGCAGGTATAGAATATGATAACAAATATTATATATATAATACTTTAGTTCCACAAGCTAAAGTATTGTATGTTTTATCGCCATGCAAACCTACAAAGTCAAAGAATTAAATATTATATACAAAACATTATGTATGATATCAAAATTTCTATATTGTTATATAAATGCATGGACATCGCTTTAATTAAAGAACGGAATTAAATGTGGTATATACTTTTTTACCATCTTAATTGCCACTGGAAGATTGGAAGATTATGAATATGGATTGGAAGATTAATTGGAAGATTACGAATATGGTGATTGCTAGATAGTATACTTCAAAATAAGGTTTCAGTTTTTATAACGTAGAAAAAACTATTCTAACGCAAAGCTAAACCCTAACACTAACCCTAACCCCAACTCTAACCCTTAACCCTAACCCTAACCCTAACCCTAACCCTAACCCTAACCCTAACCCTAACCCTAACCCTAACCCTAACCCTAACCCTAACCCTAACCCTAACCGAATTAATAAAAAAATCCAAAAAGAAACGACTTTACAAAATCGATAGGGCGGTTTGCTGGATGGAAAAGAGTGCTAACCGTATTTTATATAATTTAGGTATAAGGCCATATAAAAAAATAGTTGGTTAGCGTCTTCGCCCGCCCACAAAAAAGGCCCCGATCAGCATTTTTTTTTATTTAAAGAAACCCAACTTTTATGGATCAACGGGCTCTAATAAAAGTAGTATTTCTGTTGACTGTAGTCAATTGTGTTAATAAATTGCGAAATTGCGTGCGAAAATGACGGTATGAATCATATTTTGAAATATATAAAAAAATATCTGTACTGCGCAAGAAAATCCAGTTTCGCACCTAAGACCAAGGCATTAAAAATTAGTAAAAATTAAAAACAAGCGCCCGCCCGCTCACTTTTTGGCAAAAGCTAAGGACGCTAACCAACAATTTTTTTTATGCGGCCTAATACAGTATGAGAGCATTTTTATATTTCTATTTTATATAAATCATCAATACCTTAAAAACACAACTAGAGTGAATTTGTACCAGTGCAGGACTACAGCAATCACGGAACAATTTCATCATTTTTTATCCCGTTAACCACAGCTGGACAAACGACTATTCTTCAAACTATCCGTAAAACTATAGTTTAATATGAACCAGTTTGAACCTACGCCATTAGTCACGTTCATCACACGGTAATCCTTCCGGAATCATGATTAAAGGTTGTTTTGACACACAGTGAACAAACAGAAGCTCGTGTCCACCCGTGTCCCCTTTCCACAAATAGTGCAAAAATTCAACATTTTACAATTTTTTTTCTATATAATCTTTTCGGGTCGAGGTGTCAACACAACGAATGCCGACCGAACAATGATGGCGCAGAGCGAGAAATCAATAATATGTAATAAACCGCCCCTGACCGCGTTGCATGCCAGTGTAGTCCCCACTCCTCCTCTGAGCTTTTAATGCCATATAAATATTAGACCAGCAGGAGGGAAAATTGACTAAGCATGCGCGAAACTGCTCGGGTTTTTGGCGGACTTGGTTGATTTCAAAAACATAAACAACATGAACGAAGCCTTTGAAAGACAATTTAGCAGCGGCTGTTTAGGCCCGAAATCACCACAAAAATTGGATTCACTGACAAAACATGTTGCAGTAATACTTTGATTTCCTATATTGCCACATATTTTACAATGTAAACTATTAATATCGATTATTTCAGAGCAAAACAAAAGAGAGCAAATTATTTCCTTGTAAAATGTCGTCTGATAGCTTGAATAAAATGTGAAATTCAAACCAAAAATACTAAAACTTCTTCATTTTTTACAAAGTCAAGAAATTTAATACGGACTTAAAAATGCTTTGAAATTTAATGTAAAACAGCGATATTTCGTTGGCACAACCTGTAACATGACAAAATTCGTGTTTATAGGATTTTGAATGAGCGAAAATTGTGTTTGAAAATAATACAAAGTTTGCGCTTCGAAATGAGGGTCATAGAAAAATCTGATTGCTATGTTTATATCTTTCTCCAATACTTTGAAAACCTAAAATAACATTTTAAAACTATTATAGCAAAATACGGGGCAAAATGTTCATTCTGATGCTCATTTTCTGAGTCGCCTTTTTCGTATAAATCACACTTGCACATAAAAGTTGCCAAAATTCAGTAGTTTCTTCATTTTTTAGGCGATTTTACATTCTATTAACAAAAACTAGAAAGAAAAGCACATCTTCTGACCTAATCACATTTCATTGGCACAACCTGTATATATGAGAAAATTAAGGTGAAAAACAAGCAATTTTAGCAAAATACCTTACATACTGAAATTTTACGACGATCGTTGGCGCACAGTATCACTCAAAAACCAAATATTTATACTTTGTCCAGGACAACAAACGCATGTACTACAAATTTCAAATAATATTCCATCAATATTTAGTGTATACTCGAGGTTATTTGCCATAGAAAACACATATTTTGCAAGAAACGTCAGCGAAGGATTCTTGACTGCTAATTTCATGGTTGCGACAAGTAATTGTATTCTTGATTAACGTTTATTAACGTTCACGTCTGCTAGCTTTCTTTTCTTTTCCCTCTGCTGCAGTACGAGAAACAGGGTAGCGAAATCTGTGTTTTTGTTGTTTTCACAATTTTGTGCTGGCAAAAGGAAAGCGGACGCGATAAATTTGGTCAGCGACGACAATTTTCCCACCTGTTTATAACAGGGTGGACTTTCGTCTACGCATGCGCGAGAAACGTAAGCGTGGAGTACACGTGAGCGCGGGTTAATCGTGTGACTGAATTATAAACACAAACATCAAATTTGCCAAAATACTTGTGTTATGAAGTCGTTTTCTTGTTTCTTTAGTGTTTCTACGCTCACAATTTTAGGCGTTTCCAACTTAGAAGTGTTTGCTTTGGAATAAGAACGTGAAAGTAAAAATAAAAACTTTATTGCAGCAGTTTAATTTCGCAGTGCAAATATACCTGTTTTTAATATGTATATCCTTTCGAAGTGAGATATACAAGTGCAAATTGACCTTCTTTAAATTCGTACTTGCCCTATTTTTCACTCCATAAAAACTACTTTTATCCATGGAGAAACTATTTGACTCCAAAAATAAGCTTGAATTTTTGTGGTGATATAGGCTCATTTCTTTGCAAACAGTGATTTAGTACTCGGTAGTGTAGTTGTTGTTTATGAACAAAAGTCTAAAATGAATTCAACATCCTTCAACAAAAAGGAGTCGCGCTTATTCAACTCTGTAGAGGATAGAAAATTAATTTAATTCACTAGGAACCCGTTCTACAATATAAACTAGAAATCAGCCAACAAATTGCCACAAAATACTTCAATGAAAATAGGGTCTCGGAACTACCAATTTCACCGAACGGTCAAGTTTCTCGGCAAAGATCGCCCCTTTGCCCAATTTTCCTCGAGTAGATCATTGTGTTTTTAAGTCAAGGATTATATATACTTAAACATAAAAGAATAAAAAAAGTGGTGATAAAGGGTAGATTTTGAATAAAATACGAATATCTGTATACAAGATCTGAGCATTATTATGAAGCACTCGATACTTTTTCCAACAACATATTGCGCTTAATTTTTTACAAAATTAAAAATATTCACACATTAAAGATATGAAAATGTAGCTTGCATTACAAAGAAATGTTGGCTTACCTAAGTTATACGTAACACGTCGATTAAAATCAAGTAAAGCCCTTCCAAAGACGCGTGTCACATTAAACTACAGGTCACATGGCGGTAGAGAACTCGACGAAGTATTCACGATATTTCATAGCCAGTTCAAACGCCACTGTGTACTATTCATGTGAATTATGATGCTCAACACACCGGGTGACACAATTTACCACTTTGTTCGGCTGTTCCAAGTACACTTTTAAGATACAAGGTTCGATCATATCATGTTCTTCGAAGCACATGCTCAAAACAGTACAACATAAATATCGTCACTCATCTTCTTCGTATGAAAATATAAGTTTTCCTTTCAATTGCTTTGCTTTAAAAACAGTCATTAGGTTGTTGAAGAGCAAGTTCCAAAGAATAAAACCCCGATGCTTTCAAAAACCAGTGAATCACAATGCAGAAAACTTCAACATCCTTAGAAATTGTAAGCAAAACAACAAAAAGCAAAATTTGCGGGAAAAAGCTCACGAGCCCGCACTATTTTTATGCAACGTCGACAAAAGTCCACCCTGTTCAGCTGTTCAAGTTCAACAGGTGAACAGGGTGGACTTTCGTCGACGCTGTATGAAAATAGTGCGGGCTCGTGAGCTTTTTCCCGCAAATTTTGCCTTTCGATGTTTTGCTTACAATTTCTAAGGATGTTGAAGTTTACAGCATTGTGATTCACTGGTTTTTGAAAGCATCGGGGGTTTTTTCGTTGGAACTTGCAGGCTAACTGTTCAACAACCTAATGACTGTTTTTAAAGCAAAGCAATTGAAAAGAAAACTTATATTTTCATACGAAGAAGATGAGTGGCGACATTTATGTTGGACTGCTTTGAGCAGATGCTTCGAAGAACATGATATAATCGGACCTTGTATCTTAAAAGTGTACTTGGAACAGCCGAACAAAGTGGTAAATTTTGTTACCCGGTGTGTTGGGCATCATAATTCACAGGAATAGTGCACAGCAGGGTTTAAACTATGGCTATGAAATATCGTGAATACTTCGTCGAGTTCTCTACCGCCATGTGACCTGTAGTTTAATGTGACACGCGTCTTTGAAAGGGCTTTACTTGACTTTAATCGACGTATAAGGTATAACTTAGGTAAGCCAACATTTCTTTGTAATGCAAGCTACATTTTCATATCTTTAATGTGTGAATATTTTTAATTTTGTAAAAAATTAATCGCAATATGTTGTTGGAAAAAGTATCGAGTGCTTCATAATAACGCTCAGATCTTGTGTACAGATATTCGTATTTTATTCAAAATCTACCCTTTATGACCACTTTTTTTATTCTTTTATGTGTAACATGGCAGTGTTATACCATGTTATTTAATATATTCAATACTATATATTCAGTATACTGTTATAATTATAAGAGGAAGACCTTAGGCAACCTTCCTCGCATGAATAAGCAAATATTTAGAGAGATTAAAGAACCACGGGAAACGCCTAGTACCACAAACCACGCAAACAGGACATAGTTTTGTGGTTGATAAACACTGCTGGAACTTGCTTTGACAAACATATTGCGTAGAGGAAATTAGTCATAGTTACAGATTTCTTCCTCTAAAATTTATTATAAAAGCTGAGCACAACCTGAGAGGAGAGAGCGGAGAGTGAAGTGAGAAGAGCCATTTAGGCTAAAATACTTCATAAGCCAACAAAGGCTGAAGTATATAATTAAAAGGCTAGATAATTAAGCCTCGTCAAGTAAACTGAAGAACATTGGAATATTGTGGAATAATTATTATTAAAGAAGACGGAATACAAAGTATAAAGAATAAAGATTCAAAGTTGTGCTCAGCTCAAACAAATAGAGAGATAAGTTGATATATTAAGATTACTATATTATTATAACATTATAGAGACGCTAATTCATATTGTTGAAAGTAAATAAAATATATAAAAGGTATAAGGTTTCATGCTATTTGTGTTACGGTAGCGTTAATATAATTTGAACCCGAAGCCTAAAGGTTAAAAATATACCTAATTGGAAAATATATTTGACGCATAAATAACGCACCATAACATATGTTAAAGTATACATAATCCTTGACTTAAAAACACGATGATCTACTCGAGGAAAATTGGGCAAAGGGGCGATCTTTGCAGAGAAACTTGACCGTTTGGTGAAATTGGTAGTTCAGAGACCCTATTTTCATTGTAGTATTTCGCGGCAATTTGTTGGCCGATTTCTACTTTATATTGTAGAACGGGTTCCTAGTGAGTTAAATTAATTGTCTATCCTCTACAGAGTAGTAATAAGCGCGACTCCTTTTTGTTGACGGATGTTGAATTCATTTTAGACTTTTGTTCATAAACAACAACTACACTACCGAGTACTAAATCACTGTTTGCAAAGAAATGAGCCTATATCACCACAAAAATTCAAGCTTATTTTTAGAGTCAAATAGTTTTTCCATCGATAAAAGTAGTTTTTATGGAGTGAAAAATAGGGCAAGTACAAATTTAAAGAAGGTCAATTTGCACTTGTATATCTCACTTCGAAAAGGATATACATATTAAAAACAGGTATATTTGCACTGCGAAATTAAACTGCTGCAACAAAGTTTTTATTTTTACTTTCACGTTCTTATTCCAAAGCAAACACTTCTAAGTTGGAAATGCCTAAAATTGTGAGCGTAGAAACACTAAAGAAACAAGAAAACGACTTCATAAAACGAGTAGTTTTTGCAAATTTGATGTTTGTTTTTATAATTCAGTCACGCGATTAACCCGCGCTCACGTGCACTCCACGCTTACGTTTCTCGCGCATGCGTAGACGGAAGTCCACCCTGTTGTTCAACAGGTGAACAGGGTGGACTTTCGTCGACGCTGCATGAAAATAGTGCGGGCTCGTGAGCTTTTTTCCGCAAATTTTGCCTTTCGATGTTTTTGCTTACAATTTCTAAGGATGTTGAAGTTTACAGCATTGTGATTCACTGGTTTTTGAAAGCATCGGGGGGTTTTTTCGTTGGAACTTGCAGGCTAACTCTTTAACAAACTAATTACTGTTTTTAAAGCAAAGCAATTGAAAGGAAAACTTATATTTTCATACGAAGAAGATGAGTGGCGACATTTATGTTGGATTGTTTTGAGCAGATGCTTCGAAGAACATGATATAATCGGACTTTGTATCTTAAAAGTGTACTTGGAACAGCCGAACAAAGTGGTAAATTTTGTTACCCGGTGTGTTGGGCATCATAATTCACAGGAATAGTGCACAGCAGGGTTTAAACTGGCTATGAAATATCGTGAATACTTCGTCGAGTTCTCTACCGCCATGTGACCTGTAGTTTAATGTGACACGCGTCTTTGAAAGGGCTTTACTTGACTTTAATCGACGTATAAGGTATAACTTAGGTAAGCCAACATTTCTTTGTAATGCAAGCTACATTTTCATATCTTTAATGTGTGAATATTTTTACTTTTGTAAAAAAATAATCGCAATATGTTGTTGGAAAAAGTATCGCTCAGATCTAACGCTCAGATCTTGTATACAGATATTCGTATTTTATTCAAAATCTACCCTTTATCACCACTTTTTTTATTCTTTTATGTTAAAGTATACATAATCCTTGACTTAAAAACACGATGATCTACTCGAGGAAAATTGGGCAAAGGGGCGATCTTTGCAGAGAAACTTGACCGTTTGGTGAAATTGGTAGTTCTGAGACCCTATTTTCATTGTAGTATTTCGTGGCAATTTGTTGGCCGATTTCTAGTTTATATTGTAGAACGGGTTCCTAGTGAGTTAAATTAATTGTCTATCCTCTACAGAGTAGTAATAAGCGCGACTCCTTTTTGTTGACGGATGTTGAATTCATTTTATAAACTTTTGTTCATAAACAACAACTACACTACCGAGTACTAAATCACTGTTTGCAAAGAAATGAGCCTATATCACCACAAAAATTCAAGCTTATTTTTGGAGTCAAATAGTTTTTCCATCGATAAAAGTAGTTTTTATGGAGTGAAAAATAGGGCAAGTACGAATTTAAAGAAGGTCAATTTGCACTTGTATATCTCACTTCGAAAAGGATATACATATTAAAAACAGGTATATTTGCACTGCGAAATTAAACTGCTGCAACAAAGTTTTTATTTCTACTTTCACGTTCTTATTCCAAATCAAACACTTCTAAGTTGGAAATGCCTAAAATTGTGAGCGTAGAAACACTAAAGAAACAAGAAAACGACTTCATAACACGAGTAGTTTTTGCAAATTTGATGTTTGTTTTTATAATTCAGTCACGCGATTAACCCGCGCTCACGTGCACTCCACGCTTACGTTTCTCGCGCATGCGTAGACGGAAGTCCACCCTGTGGATACTGCGGATTCAGGTAGACCATAGGCTGCCCAAAAGTGCGTGTTGTAATTTTTATGACCATTATGTCATAATAATAAACTGAGTAGACTCGATGCATGCCCGAGCGCCACGCGCGAGGGTAAAAATTACAACACTCACTTTTGGGCAGCCTATGGGTAGACCGTGAAATGCGAATAGTTGTCGCGTTAGTTTAGCCTGCTCACAGACGTTGTACTGTATCGCCCCATGTGAGGTAATTCAGGAGGTATTTGGATTCCGGATCCCACTGCTTGGATTCCGGATCCTAGTCCTTGGATTCCGGATTCCACATCTTGGATTCCGGATTCCGAAACTATAGTGGATTCCGGATTCCAATTTCAGGGCCGTAGCTAGCATGTATAGTTGTGAGGCGGGGGGGGGGGGGAGGTGTAGGACAAAAATGTCCGAAGTGACGAAAACATTTTCCGAATATTTCATGGCATGTGAAGCCACGAATGTGTTTGCTATCCGGAAAGTGAAGACGCTATGTACAAACAAAAATGTTTTACGCATAGACGTATTTTACGCATATGAAGACACTATGTACAAACAAAAATGTTTTACGCATAGACGTATTTTACGCATAGACGTAAACGCATGTTTTACGCATAGACGTATTACAGAGCTTGCAGTGGCGTAGGAAGCTCTTTTTGATTGGGGGTGGGAACGAGGGCCGAATGCCCGAGAAAATTTTTAAATTTAGATTCTCTGAAAAGCCATTTCCTGGACTTTGGGGAAGTTTTGACAGAATTCTGACGGTCAGAAAATAGTGTTTTAGTTTGTCGAAATTTACAATTTGCTTACAATTTAGTAGTACTAAATGGGCGAAGGCGTATTTAATTAACTATACATATTGGAGAAATTGCAGGAAAGTATGGGTAATATGATTCTTTGCACAGGGCCGTAGCGAAGGGGGATATTGGGGGGGGGGGTGGATAACCCCCCATCTTTTTTAGAATTAACATATTCGGAAAATCTGGTTGGCCATTCGGAAAATTACAGCAGTTAAATAGTATAACAAAATTTAATTGTATTGTCAGTATAAACTGATTTACGAAATCGTGGCATTTACATGGAAAACATTTAACAAATCGTAAATCGGTAAATGTTTTTCGGTGTATCACTTCTCAGGGCCGTAGCAATCGGAGAGGGTGGCTGGGGGGGGGGGGTGCAGCCCTCCCAATAATTTGCTAATAATAACTCTTTTTTCAACATCATGCAGACCTTTATCATTTGAATAATATACCTTTAAAATACTGACAATTGATTAATTTTAAGCGGCTATATGCGCCGTCCTAATAACCTACTTGACTCTCCAATATATCACGCGGTTAATTAAATACGCCTTCGCCCGATTTAGTACTACTAAATTGTAAGCAAATTGTAAATTTCGATATACTAAAACGCAGACAGTATTTTGTCAAACCTTCCTCAAAGTCCAGGAAAATGCGGGCATTTCAGAGACTCTAAATTTAAAAATTTCCTCGAGCCGAAGGCCCTCGTTTTCAGCCCCCCATAAAAAAAGCTTCCTACAGCACCGCATGCTTCTGTAATATGTCTGTGCGTAAAATATGTGTATTTTTGTTGGTAAATTGCGTACGCGTCTTCATTTTCCGGATAGCAAACACCTAATTCGTGGCTTTGTATGCCATGAAATATTCGGAAATTTTTTTCGTCATCCGAAATTTTTTGGCCTGCATCTGACTTCACAGTACTAAATAGCATTTATTTTCGAGGAAATTGTTGAAATGTTCACAAGTAACTCTAATTAATTGCTGCCGCAGCGAGCGAGCCTGAAGCGAGCGAGCAAGGCAGCAGATCCTAATTTTGTTTTGTGGGTCGAAATCAAAATTTTCTATTTGGCGCATTGCATGACGGTACCAGTGAATTTTAACCGTGGTGCAGCGCGGTTAGGCTTAAGGAAAACAGGCAATGTGATCATGTTTCATCTTTGGTCTTCTTTTATGGAAAGCCATAGCTGGCTTAAAGTGATCAAACGGCATTTTGTTGGATGCTTTTAGCATTATACGGCGGTGCTTTTGGCATTATACACGGTGCTTTCGCCATTATACGCGGTGGTTCCAGTATTATACGCGGTGCTTTCACCATTTATATACGCGATGCTTTTGCAATCATACGCAGTGGTTCGAGAACTATATGCGGTGCTTTTAATATTATACGCGATGCTAGCTTTCATTCAACATTATTTCCATATTCTTTCCATTACAGGTATATGATTTAAGGTATGTGCATGGTTGACAAATGCTTTTTGCCTATGATCTGCAAGGACAATGACATGCTTTTCTGTGTATATACATGTAAATTAATATAACGCAGCGAAAGCGCCAAACAGTGATAAACGCGGCTGAAATACGATATTAAAATCTTAAATGTGCCGTATGATTTAATTATGTTTTAGGATTTACAAATGCTTTGTCATTTGTATTTATACTTGTACTGCATCACAAGGCAGTACGTACTGTAAGTGAAAAAAATCCACATGTGAGATTGTCTTGTATATATTTTTGCTTTCTTTGATAAACACTATTAAACACGCAAATTTTAATTAGTGAGACGCAATGTTAAATGCAGTGGCGTAACTACTATGGGCTCAGACCGGGAGAACCCGGGGGCCCCCAACCCAAATGGGGGCCCCCAGGCTTAAGCGATAGAGCAAAAACATTGGTCAGTGCCTCTGATATGTTACAATGTCGTTTTATGACCATCAGAATTCTGTAAAATCTCTCCCCAAAGTCCAGGAAATGGCATTTCAGAGAGTCTAGATTCAAAAATTTTCCGGATGAGCATGCCCTGGACCCCCTAGAAAACTCGTGCGTATACGGCGCTCGACTCGTGCCTTTGGTACTTCTACTAGGGGGGCCTTCGAAAATTTTGAACCGGGGGCCCCCTGATATAACGTTACGCCACTGGTTAAATGTCACCTGCATGTCATTGTCATTGCCCTTTAACCCCTGGTCTAATTGGCCGCTTTTGAAAATATTGATAGTTAGTGCCTGACGTCTTCGCTGGTTGTTATACTTTAAAATAATTTTGTATGTATCGAGAAATCAATATTCCGAGTATATAAATATATAAACTGGGATGTCACACTGATAGCTTGTTTACATTTCCTGGAGCATCATGAAATCTTATGTTTAACCACGGTGGTTTAATAACCCATTAGCTGGCAATGCGCCCCTCCCTTTTCGGCCGCCAGAAGATTTTACTCGTCAGTGGTATAGGGTACTGCCAGTAAATGGGTTAACAAACCTATCTGCCAATGGCTCTTGTTAATTCATCAGCACAGTAATGACCCCTACTTTAGTATTTACCCTGTCCAACGCCAGACGATTTTTAATACTCAGTCAGTGGTAGGGTACTGTCAATAAATGGGTCACAAGGATAACAATAATTAGCCTGCATGGCAGGCGGTATTTCCCAGGCTTGCCCAATTTTAGGAACCACCTGCCATGCACGCTAAACAATAATAGGATGTTTCTGAAGGACTCGTTCAACACCCTGTAGTTTGTCTTTTGCTGTCAAAGGCAGCATTACTGCCCTGTGGGTAACCTAGTAATAAATTTTATATAGCAGACATAACTTATAGGTGTAATGTTTCAAAACGGACAGGCACACTATATTTTTGTATCAAACACAGGCTCGATTTGATGTAAACGACCTTCAGCGTTTCAAATAATTCATGCGAAATTAAAAAAAAAGCATTTTATTCTAATGTAAATGTATAAACGGGTTAGTGTCTGGTTGGGTGGGTACCGAGTATATATAAATAAAATAAAACAAGATTGACAAGAAAATAATACACATCTTTTCTCATTTGATTCCTTACTGTGTTTGGAATGTTTCCCCATGACCAAGTCCGAAAATTCGCTTTGTAGTCGACTCAAAAGCTTAACTGAGATGCACCAAGATGCACGAGCTTAAGATGCACCAAATCTACAGCCCTGGGCAAACTAGGAAACGTTGTTTCCTGCCAATGTTTCGCCATGTTTTCCAAGGTGGACAAACACTAGGAAACAATGTTTCCGCAACAAAAATCGCACTTGGGAAACATGAAATGTTTCTGAATTTGATAGGAAACATTTCTGCTTCTCGGGAAGCAAATTGTGTTTCTACAACGATGTTTCTACGGGTGGCAAACACAGAAACACTTGAGGAAACATGGCGAATCACAGTGTTTCCGCAACAATGTTTCCTAGTTTGCCCAAGGCTTACGACGCGGACTTGACATAAAACCCGGCGCTAATGTTTGAAATCCAGTTTTATTGTATGCTTGGCTTGTGTCTCTGACTTTGTTTACCAATTCACTTGTATCTCTGACTTTGTTTAATTTTTTATCCGTGTAATGAAACTTTGGGAACTAGTTACAGTTTTCCACGACCGCGTCGTAGATTTGGTGCATCTTAAGCTTGCTATTGTCTATAAACAGCACCAAGATGCAAACGGTATATAAGAATGTGTATACACCCGCTAGTAATCGAAAGCCGAACGGGCGCAAACAGTTTCTCAAATGTCATGTATTTGGGCTATTTGGTCATGAAACTTGAAAGAGCCTGAACATATTTCCTGGAGTAAAAAAAAAGGGGAAGATGGTTAGCAATGTTTTTTTTATATTTTTACGGGTTTTCTTCTAAATTAATAAAACATGAATGGTTCCAGAACAACCTGGGCTTTGGATGCCGGATTCTTCAGCTATTTGGATTCGGATTCCACTGTCTGGATTCCGGATTCCAAGACTCTGGATTCCGGATTCCTAAACCAACAAAAAGTCGGATTCCGGATTCCGGATTACCTCACAAGGGGCGAACTGTAGTTCTTACGCCAAGCGACGAAATGTATTTCGTCGCTTGGCGTAAGAACTACAACGTCTGTGAGCAGGCTAGCGTTAGTTTTAACAGTTGTACGATGACGTTTCTAGGCAAATTTCCGACGTTTCTAAGGCCTGGCTTCAACGTTTGTTTTTAAAATTTGAACGTTGTTATTACCACAGAGGAAGTATATACAGAGAGTTCACTCCACAGGCGGCCCAATCTCAGAATGAATGATCAGGTGTTGCGGGTTTTTAACGGTTTTTATAAACAAATTTATAGTCAACCAAAACTATTTTAAAAGCATTCTTAAATTAGTCAAATAAATACATTTTAACAATAAAATATAGTTGACATGATATTATAATACCTTTGCATTCTTTTAATTACTCCATGAGTTCATTTGGAGCGGTTGATGTAACATTTTCTGTGGCCTACATTGTGTGTGCTTATCTATATATAATATAACAGTAAAAGGCTAATCACTGGCGGCACGACCGCATCGCCTTCAAAGTCAAATATCTCCGCTCAAACTTCTCGTACGCCAAAACAAATTGGATTACATTTTTTCACAAAGATTTCTCTTTCTAAGTAATATGGTTTGATCGTAGCTTGGGCAAATTTAGCGACGAACGGAACCAAAATCTCCTTAATTTCGGATACTATTCAAAATCAGACTCGCCCCCAGTCGCTTTAAGAGCGGGCGCGCGGCCAGAAGTGGGCGCGTAGAGGCTCACGGCAAAGAAGAAAATTTAGCGACTGGCAGATTACTGGGATTTTTCTTGCAAGAAATTGATTTTCTTGCAAACTAATATTTTATGCTTCAATTTTGGATTTTTTGACATTGGTATACATAAATCGATCATTTTATGATGTAGTCTCTGCAAAGTGCGTATTTTTATCAAGTATATCGGCCTTCATTTGGTCAAGTCTGGAGTACTTCAAAATGGCGGACTCTGATAAACTTAGATGGTGAGTCTAAAAGATAATATAATACATTCTACCACTTGAATGTCTTGAATTTGTTGACCCTTTGAGCCGTAGCATAAATTTGCGTATACTGAAGAAATTAAGAAACTGGAATTCATTATACGCTCGGCTGATTAGCGCCATGTTGCCTTGTTTCAAGTTGTAATTTTTGTCGTTCTGAACTATAGACTTCAATTCCATAAATTCAGATGAATGTCCTAAGACCAGCACTCCTAGAACTCCTAAAGCGAGAAAATTACTGCCATTTGACGTCAAACACGACCTAACACCAGATTCTAGGAGTCCGGGATTACCAAGAAGGCAAGAACTAAATGCAGGAAAATTGTTCAAGGTTGGAACTTGTATTTTTAATAAGTCACTTGTTTGAATGTGCAGGTGATGTTGGCACATTTGTCCCTGGAGGTCTTCAGGGCTCTTTAAAGACTATATGCATCAAAACAGATGGGTTGAGACTTAAACAAGAGGATTTTGTTACTGATGATCTTAGTGTAAAAAGCCACCTTTCAAGAGCTTTGGCAGCCATATTTCCTAACTGTGAAAAGAAAAGGGTGTTGTGCGAACATAAACAAATATATTGGCTGATGTGCATATGTAATACATGATCAATCCAATTCATAACATTGTATTACAAATGACATAATATTTTTATATTTGTCTGGTATATTGTGTTTTGGTTAATCTTCCTCAGGATGCTACGTCACAGAATAAGGTACACAGAAGGCCGACTTCTTGGGTTTTCCTATAATTTAGGCGTAACCTGTAATTCGTCATCATATGCTAACGCCATGGTCCTAGCCAGTGCGCGTTTGAGAGGCATTCACCCCCTGATATTATTCAAAATGGCGAACGTCCAGGGGGGAATGCCTCTTAAACGCGCACTGGCTAGGACCATGGCGTCAGCATTTTGATGATGAATCATGGTGTGGCAGTGGTTACTAGAGTCGACCTTCTGTGTGCCTTATTCTGTGGCTACATGCCCTCACTCACCTTCCACCCCTGAATTTTTCTGCACAACCCCCCACCATGCATAATCCGAAAATCTGTCTATGATGGTGATGATAACATATGAAAGTATAAAGCTTTATTAAGTTAATATAATATACATGCTCCACTACATCATGTACACTAACTGTAATTACAATACATTTTAGTTTTAAATTAATTTAAAATTATTCACTGTTAATAATTCCATTGAAGAAGTCCAATTAAAATGGTTCAAAATTAATCCAGCTTTTGTGTCTTCAATTTCCATACATCTTGCTTGGTACTGCAGTATTTTGCCACCCAGATCAAGATTAACCCTTTAAGTGGCAATGCACCCTGATATGCAGACTCTTCCCCAGTCGCTTTTAATTAAATATAATTCCTCTTTATTAGCATTTCTTTTTTTGTATTCAACAATATTCATTCAACTCTTAGGCGGCTGAAGAAAAAGAGCGGGCTCGCAGGCTGAGTGGAGTGGGCGCATAGAGGCTTACAAGGAGGGCGAGAGGAAAAAAATTAGTGACTGGCAGATTACAGTGTGTTTTCTTGCAAGAGAGTGTTTTTCTTGCAAGTTAATATTTTATGCTTCAAATTTGGATTTTTTTTACATTAGTATAAATAAATCGATGATTTTATAATGTTGTCTCCGCAAAGTGTGTATTTTTATCAATTATATCGGCCAATTATAGATCATTATATCGGCCTTCCTTTTTTACTATCGGTCAAGTCTGGAGCACTTCAAAATGGCCGACTCCAATGAAGATTTCAATGCCTCATTCTGCTCCATGAATTTAGATGGTGAGTCTAAAAGTAATATAATATATTCTACCACTTGAATTTGTTGACCCTTTGACCCGAAGCATAAATTTGCGTATATAAAAGATTAATTAAGAAACTGGAATTTATTATACGCTCGGCTGATTTTAATAATAGCGACATGTTGCCTTGGCTCAAGATGTAATTTTTGTTGTTCTGAACTATATACTCCAATTCCATAAATTCAGATGAATGTCCTAGAACTCCTAAAGCGAGAAAGTCATTGACATTTGATGTAAAACACGACCTTACACCAGATTCGAAAAGTCAGGGATTGCCAAGATCTAAGTGCAGGAAAGTTGTTCAAGGTTGGTTGTATTTTATTAAGTCACTTCAAACGTCCTTCAGCACAGCACTAATATAATTGTTTGAATGTGCAGGTGATGTTGACACATTTGATCCTGAAGATCTTCAGGACTCTTTGAAAGATATATGCATTGAAAGAGAAGGGGAGAGAGTTAAGCAAGAAGATATATTGGACATACTTGGTGTTACTGATGACCTTAGTGCAAAAAGCCGCATTTCAAGAGCTTTGGTTACCATGTTTCCTAACTGCGAAAAGAAAAGGGTGTTGTGCGAACATAAACAAATATATCCTTTTTACATGTGTAAAAGGCTGATGTGCATATGCAATATATTATCAATTCATTACATTGTATTACAAATGATCGATATAATATTTTTATATTGGGTCGTTCCAGAAAAGATCCATACTCCCCCCACGGAGGAAATTTCTGCCGTCCGGAGGGGGAGGGGAGAAAAAATTGTTTCTGATAATAGTAAATGTATTAAGACATCCGAAAGGGGTAGGGGGGTTAACTTCCTATTTCCTCCATGGGGGTGGTATGGATGTTTTCTGGAATGACGCATTTGGCTGGTATATTGTTTTGGTCCTTAATATTAATGTACTACAGTGTATACAAACATCACACTGAAGCATGATTTATCAGTTGAAATGCCAGTTGACATCTCAGTTGAAGAAGGACTGAAAGAGAGAATAAAAGACTTGGAGGCAACAATGACGAGTGTTTGGGAAGACCTACATTTGGCATTGGAAGAAGAGGTTTGAATATATATTTGTTTTATATTATTGGATTAAAGTGAGTGGTGGACCACAGGTTTATATAAAAACATTAAAACATATACAGTAATTGTGCCCAATCACATATTCTTTTCCTTCTTTTCCATGGAACACATATGATGGAAAACCTTTATTTCATCAAAAATTAATATAGTAAATTTAATACTGTTTGTTACAGACCAACAGAGGCAGAGCCAAATCTCTCATGAAAAGATATAGAAGTCTTACCATTGCAAGGGAAAACTACCTTACCACATTACTAAATGGCTACCAAAAAGAATGTAAAAAGTTACAGGATAAAGACATGAGCATTCTCACAAATCAGCAAAAGAGTAGATTACAAAATGAGATGGAAACGTTTAAGAGCCAATGTGTCATGGGCTTTCGTAGTGGTGCTCTAAAAGAAGGAGTAAATGATGTGCCAACAGATATATTTCAAAACTTTACTACATCAATTGCCAAAGAATGTCCTCTTATTAATGATATACTGGAAACCTTGATTGGTAATAGTAAAAACATAGATGTAAACAAGAATAAAACCAACAAAGTGAAAATGAAACGTGCCAGCCATGCACTAGCTGGTTTGGTTGCATTAGGAAATCAAAAACTTCCAAATGACATTCAGTTACTGTTTGGTCTATTATGTTTGTCATATGGAGGAGGAAAGCAATTCATAAACATGCTCAATTCTATTGGTTTATGTCTTCACTGGGATTCACTGTAAGTATTTGTATATCGTAGCAAACTACTGGTTCTTGGACTTTATTAAACCATTGAGCCGCAATGCGCCCCAGCGTGCCCTACTTATGTTTTTTACTTGTCTAACGCCAGACGACTTTACTCATCAATGAGGAAGCCCTGCAGCTTAATGGGTTAATATTACAGTATTATGGCAAATAATAAAAAATATTGAAATCTTAATATTATCTATATAATATCTATATATTATCTGAAACTTATTATTATCTATTATCTTATATTTTTTTATTGAAATCTTAATTGTCAATGATACTTATTTAATCACCATGTTGGTTATCTCAATTTTATGTTAAACTGTGTTGCTTTATTGGTTCAGTTACAATTTACTTAATTTCCATTGATTTTCAAAATTCCTAATTGAAACAGTTTAGCAATATTTCGACATATTCCATGCACTTGTCCCGCACTATTTGAATGTCCTTGTGCAAGACTGTATGCTGATGCAATATTATCCGCTAGATTTTGCACCCATTTAAAATGTTCAAAAAGCTGTGATACTATGGATATGAACCAGACAAAAAATATAATCACCATCTCATGAGTAATGCTATATCTACTGCATAGCCTTCATACAGTATATGACTGATAACAGGGATTAATGAGGCCCAGGCAGCTAAGCATGCAGTATATTTAAATTTATACCATATTTCAAATATGGACGCCAATTCAGTCAAGATTGTTGTAGATAGTGGAGGATGATTATTTTGTGATGTCTTTTATTAAATTATCATTTTTCTTTTAGGACTAAACATCTAGATGAACGTCTTGACAACTTTCAATCTATTATCAATGAAAAATTCCCCAAAACAAAACCAGTAATTCTTTTAATGGACAACATCAACATGTACAAAGGAAAAAAGAGACACTATAGACTGTTTAAGAAAATGGGTCCAAAGATGTGGAATTTTACAGGTTAGAGGAAATTATGAATATAATGATTGATGAGCACTATTTACTAAACAGCTACAGTAGATAGTAAATTAATGTAATGCACTAAAGATTTATTGGAGCCAGTCAATATGCTAGGAGTATTTTAGGTTTGGGAATCGAGTGAGAGCAATAGCCAAATTTAAGGGGTTTTTAATTTTTTTGGGGGGGGGGGGCGGAATTCCTCTCTCCTACAATTACAAACCCAGATGTCATTTCCTTACAATTTTCAGTCTATTTCCAAGTGAGGGGATATAAAAGATATATGGGTTCAACAACTACACCTATAAGTGCACCCACCCTTACCACTTAGTAACAGTTTAATAGTAATAATGATATTCAATAGATTCACCCCCCCTCCCCCCTCTTTTTTGGGAGGGGGAAAATGCTCCCTCCTATAATGTAGTTATTTTCAGATTTGGGGCAAAATTCGGGATTTTTGGGAGGAATCCTCCCACCCACCCCTCCCCCCCCCCCCACACACACATGCAAGTATCCCTGACATGCAACATTAACGCATTGGAGGCAATTCTGTAACCCTCAAATCTATAGATACATAGGCCTAACTAATTGTATATATGTTTACCTGTTTATAGGACGAGGGGCAATAGTTGCAAATGTGGATGGCTTGGAACATTTACTTCAGTGTTCAAGTACTGCAGTCCATTCACAGATTGATTTTACAGATTTAAAAGCTGATGATATTATTTTAGGTTGGCACAAGTCTTAAAAACATTTTTGAAAAATCTTATTGCATCAGTTGTAGACGGCTGGCCAAGTCATCATTTTGTACAACTGGATGGCAACTTTTTGTTAGAAGCTGGTAACAGGCATTTTCTTATAGTTCAAGCTTTGGTGAACAAGACTATATGCGTTACCACTTCTGATTTTTGCTTTATAGCCAAAAATTTGAGAATATTTAAATTTTGCCTATTAAATTACTATGATCAGAAAAGATGTAAAATCTCATGTTCTCTCACATGTGGTAACACATATAGTCTTATTCACCAAGGCTTGGACTATACGAAAATGCCTGTTACCAGCTTCTAACATAAAGTTGCCATCAAACTCTCTTTAGAGGCACTTTTTGCCACCTTGGCCGGCCGACTATTGTTGTGATTTGCAGTCACCATAACTGAAGATCTGGTTTAAACTTTTATTTTTATTTTAAATTTGGTGATTACAAACCATGCGAAACAGTGCAGTTTTACATGTCTTTGCCAATTAGTGGGTTAATATGTGTCTTTGTTAATTATATTAGACTCCATGACAGATCATAAGAGGATTTGGTCTGATTTTTCAAATGCATATACCACAAAGCTGCTCAACTTGGGATTAAACTGTGTTCCAGTAGCTACAAAGCAGTTTGCGGAGATGAATGAGAATGAGTTTAACAAGTGGTTATCCAGCATCAATTTTGAAGAATCTGGCAAGTCACCCAGACCATACATACTGCAAGAAGAGCCCTTGTCATCTGTGTTCAATATAAGCAGTTCAGTAACGAAAACAGAAACATTGATATTGCCATTATCTTTGGAAGATAACTCAACTTTACCAGGAACTGCCTCCATTTTTGAAACATTTGGGAAAGAATTCAGTATTCCATGCATCCATAAGGATGAAATTTTGGAATTTGATGAGAAGACTTGCTCGTTTGATTTAAAAGGAGCAAGAAACCACTATGAGTTTAAAGAAATAATTTCTTTACATAAGGATGAAATGGCATTGATTGAACAGCAGATTTCTGATACCTCAAAGCAATTAGACGAGGACAGTGATGATTATGATGATGATGATGAGGATGAATCCGGGGATGTTGTTGACAGGGATGGTACTGAACCTAAGAAGAATGATGGTCAACATAATGAAGACCCTGGCAATGAAGGAAGTTCTGCAATGCATATCAAAAGAAAATATCTCCAGAAGCAGGATGCAGTTTTTAAAAAAACTTTCGATAAGCTGACAAAAATGATCTGGGAGGCTGTTCATGCACAGGATTCTGCAACTAAACTTGACATCCTTATTAGTCGTCTCTCTAATAACAGGTGGTGGGAAAGGAAAACAGATCATTTTAAGCGAACTGTCATTCACCACGCTATTGAATGTAACAATATTGTAATGGTGAGGGTGCTCCTTGCTGCTGGCATCAATCCAAATGTTAAAGAAGGTTGTGGTGCCACCCCTCTCCATCTTGCTGTACTACAAAAAAACACTGAATTGTGCAAGCTTTTTGTAGATAGTTTTGCATGTATCAATGGTCTATCATTTTCATCTATTCCTAGTCCCTATGAAATGGCTAAATCTATGAAGTTGAACGACATTGTTTTAATATTTAACGAGAACCTGAAAGAACAAGGAATGCTAGAACAACAGTTACTTGAGCTGTCAAGTAAAGCTGCTTGTGATACCAACAGTGAATGTGAACCTGACCCTGACCAAGATGAAAATGATGATGAACTGTTTAGTTATGATCGATCACAGTATTGTGGATTTCCTACAGCAGTGGTTGGAGATCAAGGAACCTGCAAGAATAACAGAAGTGTAAAGCAAAGAGATCAGTCTGCTTTTAGTTGGGTAGCTGAAATACCAGGTGACTTACATGCCAAAGGTCACCTGTGTGAAGCCATATTCAAAGCTCAAGGAAAGGGGGGTTTTCATCATCTAGTAACAAAAGTCCTGAAACGTCAAAAGCTTACGGAAACTGCGTTTCGTGACAAGAAGTTCCAAGAACAAAACCTTGCGCACATAAAAGAAGCAGTCCGAGACGGATCAATTGCTTATGGAATGGCCGCTGTTATGATATTTAAAACGTCCTGCTATTTTCCAAGTAAAGAGTCACTGCAAAAGTGTCTTCAAAAGAATGGAAACCATAATGAAGTACTGCTTCATTGTTTTAAGAGTTTCTTAAATGAATGCTCAGCCAAAGATGAAAATTTCAAATATCATTCAGAGATGTTCACCCTTTTCGGTCCATTACTACAATTGTACAATGATGCCACTCGTTTTGGTCAAGGACTAGCTCGTGAGACAGTATGGGTTCTGCTACTTCCAATATTTGCTCAACTGCAATTCAGAAATTATTGGACTGAGGCCATCGTCCATGTTGTTAACTTCACTGCAGTTTGGCCACTAGCTTTCCGGGAAATGATAAAGAAGAATTCATCTGTCAACATATCGGGGCAAGTCGGGAAAAACATTGACTTGGATGAATTTGTGGAGACATACATTGTTCGACCTCTCAAGCTTTATGCATCTGGTAATTTAAGTATATACATACTTATTGGTTTTAAAGGCACAGTGTCTGAGCGTTGTGATTTTATTGGCACATATGTAATTTGTTATCATTCATCTTAGCGAGTTGATCAAGCCGTAAGGACCAAGGGTCAAAATCTATGATAACCGCCAGGGATTTATTTAAATTGGATATTTAATAATGAGCCATTTTATCATTCGCCATAACTAGTTCTCCACAATTTTGACAAACGTACTAACGTTATTGAACTTTTTCAAGTTTGAGTGCACTAAATCGCATTGTTTAGCGGATGACACTGTGCTTTTAAGCTGTTGTTATATTAAATGAAGTTAATTTAATCGAAATTATCATTGAAATATTTAAAGTATTACGTATGTGGTGTTGAAAAACAAATTGAGATATAGCAGAGTTGATGGATCGCTGAATCGTGAAATATAATTATCGAACTTTTATGGCATGCTCATAAGTCATTTTCTAATGAATAGCTTTTGCTTGAAATGTCACGCCTATATGTACATACAGTACGTACATGAGTTGATGTGCACCTGCAGGGCATATCATATTAATGAATAATGTTCATACTGGTTCCATTTCTGCTTCATCTCTAGGTCATTCTTCTGTTAGAACATGTCAGCGTATTATGGCTAATGTACAGCTATTTGGAAATATACGCCATGCTTACTCTGGTAAAGAAGCTTTTGATGTGCACCCAACCAAAAAGCATAAAGAACAGACTCCTTTTCCTGACCAGCTTAAAGGCATGTGGTTTTGCCTCCGAGAAGGAATGTTTGAGTATGTTGAAGGAAGACAAGATGCCATCTCTTTTCCTACAGAAGCTGACAAAGCAAAACCTATTCGAAAGTCACGTGTATCTATTCTTGAGAAAGGTGCTGCAAAAGTGAAAACCAATTTTTCCAGAAAATTACACGATTGCTTTCCATCGATGAGGCGAGCCTCTTTTGACCAGGTAACAGAAAACAACACAGAAGATAATGTATAAATATTGTAATGCTAAAAATCTCTACTTAAGTTAATGTAAACGTCATTTTTATCTACAGATTCACTAATCTATCCAATAATCTTTAAAGTCCCATTTTCCAATAGGCGAATTTGTTCGCGCGAAGAGTACAAAAGTAGGAACTGATCAAAATTTTTCGCGGCGATTTTTCGCTGACCAATAATGGAAAATGTGCTTAATTAAGATTGGATTTCATTAGATTACAAATTCCTAATAAATGAACTAGTAAATGCCCACTTTCATGCAAGACTCGTATCTAGTACACCCTTTAAGGTGGCTCCCTACAGGGGCCGGTTGTGTTGTTCACCGGATAGTGATTTTTTCAAGCTTTGTTAAATCAGTCGTTGATTGGTATAACTCGTATTAAAGTTTAGTATTTATAAGTTAAATGCTAAGGCACATCTTTATAGTATATAATCTTTGGTACAACCGACCCCAGTAGTTTAAGTATGGGACATTGGGACTGGTTACGAAATGACGTGTCTTTTCGATTTGAAATTTTATCACGTCAGCAAAAATTTTATTTGACCGCGCAAGCACAGAAATTATAGGCTACACAGAATGCAGACTTCTTGGTTTTCCCTAGCAGCCGTAATTCGTCATCAATGCTGACGCAGTGCGCGTTTGAGAGGCATTCACCCCCTGATAATATTCAAAATGGCGGACGTCTAGGGGAATGCCTCTCAAACGCGCACTGGCTAGGACCATGGCGTCAGCCATATTCCCTATATCTAGATATTCCCTATATTTACACCTACAAAATTTCAGAAACTTTGACCGGAGGAAAGTTTAATAAATTCATTTTTAGTCCAAAAATTCATCTTATCTGCTGTTGCTTAGACCACGTTACCATAGTAAGACACAGTTTGCTTCTTTGGAACAATAATAAATGAAGTATAAAGATCACTCCCCCCCCCCTATCACATAAATAGCAAATATTTTGCGTCACATTCTCCACTGTAGGGAGCCACCTAACCATAATTTTGTAATAAACGCTGCAAATCATTAAACATTTCTCCAACTAAAAGCCGCCCTTAAGGCGGATTTCCAGTCCTCGCACGAATCTCCTCGCATGACGAGTGATGCACGAACACTTTCATCCAATCACAATGCTAAACCGTTAATTTTAATTAGAGGAGCTTCGTGTGAGGATTGGAAAACCGCCTTTATACGAGGTGTTAATTATATTGAATCAAACGATTGTGGATAACAGTTACTGTACACTATAAATAAACTATAAAAAGTTTCTTCTGTATTTTTCATTCAGTCAATTTGGTATAAGTTAAATTAACCTATTGAGTGGCAGCACTCTTTCCCTGATGAGTAAAATCGTACGGCGTTAGACAGAGTAAAATAATAAAGTAGGGTTCATCGGGGCGCATTGCCGCATGGGCAGATAGTCTGATTAACCCATAGAGTGGCAGAACTCTCCCTCTGGGGCCGGTTGTATCAAAGGCGTTTAACTTAAACGGTGTTTAGCCGCTATCCAGCGTATAAATTTCTTATCCAGCGGATAGTTAAACGGCCGATAAAATTGCGTTGTAAGAAGCCCGTTTAGTACCGCGTTTAACTATCCGTAGGATAACCTTTAATTTAACCGGAGAAAACCGGATTTTCTTGAAATTTCCTACCTCTACGTCAGCTGTTGCTAGGCCTTTGTAAACTTTTGAAGCTTTATCTAACTTGTGAATTCCACTAAGCTTTTGCAATAAAGTTTGTTGTTGTTTTTATTTGGAGTTTGCTCGTCCATTCGTTGCTGCAAATCTATATCAAACTTTTCATTTTCACATTGTGCTGAGTTTCTCATTCACTTAAATTCACTTACGGATATTTCTTTAAAGATTTTTGGCTTCTTTATGCGAAGAGTCGAAGGCAATAGCAAAAACTGTGAGTTGTATTTGGCTTTTGTCAGTTGATTCAGTTTTATACTGTTTGAAATTTGTTCCTCGACCTTGCACTTTTGTTCAAAACAATTTTAAGAACATTTTGTCCCAAGTTTTGATTGGCTGATCAAAACGATTAACGCGAGCGAACAATTTTTTTCGACTTTCGGCGTCTTGTTGTCTATTTTGTATACTTGTTGGCTTTCCAAAGTCATTGTTTGTTTTACAATAGCTAAAAATTGGGAGTCTTACTGCTTGTTTTCAAACTATATAATAGAAGAAAAGAAGGAGAAAAAGCCAGAGTATATATACTTAACATCTAAACATGACACTGGTGTGCGTAAATATAAAAATATAGCAAAGCCACGGAATTACAAGTGAGCAAGTGACCTCAGTGTACCTCAAGACCAAGCCAGTTAAAAGTGAGTTTTTCATGTTTATTGGATTTAAAAAGATAACTCCTCCACATGATTGTGCATTTTTATAACTATCCCATGCTTTTTCATCCGAAATAATCATTGTTTTATCTTCAAACTCCGAGTTTATCCGCCGTATAGCGATTTAAACGGTCTCAAGAGACCGCGCGTATAAGTTTACACGGTGGATAGGCAAAATTAAACCGGTGGATAGCCCTGAACGGGCTTGATACAACGCGATTTCTCGAGCGTTTAAATTTTATCCGGCGGATAGCGAGTTAAACGGTGGTTAGCGAGTTAAACGCCTTTGATACAACCGACCCCTGAATAGTAAAATTGTCTAGGGCGCATCTGAGCGCATTGCCACTTGAAGGATTAATGTACATATAATTCAAACTGTTAATGTCATAAATCTAAAACTACTATTTCTAGTCCATTCTTAACATCGCACGCTTTACCTGTCAAAGTCAGAAATGGCGTTGTTGTATTTTCCATGTGGTCCCACAAATTTTCTTCTAAGTACCCATCTACAACTAGTAACTGGAAGAATCTAATAGCTTGTCTTTCAGATTTCAGTTTTGCTTTTCCAAGACCATACTGCGGAACCAGGTGGAAATTATTTTTTAGTATATCCTTACTCTTTGAACCCTTCAAAGTAAATGCAGCTTGTTTTAAAGATATTTTTGTAATACTGGTGCTCATCGATGTAATGCAGTCAAAGGCTTGAATACTTATATCTGTGCAATCTTTGGGAACTGACTGTTTTGGATTCTGACAGTTATCACATCCATTTCGACACGGTTTAAGATTAACTGGGTTCTCGCCAAAGTATGTTAACATGAAAACTCTTCGACAGTCACTGAGCATGCAATATTTCACAATACTGTCTAGAAGTTTGCTTTGAAGAGACCTTTGATTGGGATCTTCTATCCTGGTTATAAAATTAAGAATTTTTAATCTGTCCTCAAATGTATATATCAAAATGCATGTTGATGGTAAACCATCTCTTCCCGCTCTCCCTGCCTCCTGAAAGTAATCTTCCATTGATTCAGGAATGGTGTGATGGATTACAAACCGTACATTTTGTTTATCAATTCCCATCCCAAAAGCCACATAACTTTAGCTCTACCACTTAACCAGGCAGAGGAGTTCTGTTCCTTTTCCATGTCATCAAGTGCTCCGTCATAGTGGACTGCACTTATACCTCTTGTCTTGAGTAAGAATGCCAGATCTTTTGTATCCCTGCGTGTACTACAATACACAATACCACATTTATCTCTGAAATCATCTATAATTAATTTCACAACATCATCCTTTGATTTCTGATCATTTTTGGGGATCACTTTGAAGAACAGATTGCTTCTTTCAGATGGCATCTTAATAATATCTGGATCTTCCATGTGTAACCTTTCTACAATTACATTTTGCGTTCGTACAGTAGCTGTACCTGTGAAAGCATGAAATGGCCTTTTGAATGCCCGTAAGCAGCCAAGCTCTGCATAGGAAGGTCTAAAACTTGAACCGCACGTGTCTATACAATGTGATTCATCAATCACAAATCTGCCAAGAACACCAACTTTGTTCATTTGATCAAAGTGCTTCATTAACCTTTCAGAGGTAGCTGCTTCAGGTGTTAAATAGAAAAGTTTATAGCATGTATCTTTCAGTGTCATTTCATGCAAAACTGACTCCTCTTCATTAGGCATGCTGGACCTTATGTAACAGGCATTTATTCCTCTTTCTCTTAATTTGTTCACCTGATCACTTAGTAATGATAAAAGTGGTGTTATGACAACTGTAACACCAGACATGAGTAAAGCTGGGATTGCATAACATACAGTCTTTGTTTCGCATCTACGCCAACCGGGGAGACGCTACTTTGTTTGAAGCAAATCACATTGAAATACCCAAATCTGTTTTCTCTTTCTGCACTAATACTTTATTTTGTAAATAGTCAACTATATAAATCAAGCAAAATTACAGCTATTACAACAACTCAGATATACTGATAATTGAAGGTTGCAGCAAGACTGACTTACAATTCGTGAGGCATAATCTGAGTATCCTTGCCTTTTCCTAAGTTATTATTTTTAAGTTTTTGTTCACTGTATTTAACATAACAAGTTCGCTTTTTTAGTTTCTTTCTTTCCAATTCCGCGAAGCTTCCTCGCCGTTTCACTTCCTCCGTCCCACTCCCCTCTCAACACCGGCGATCGCAATATCTTAACAGTCTTACCAGACCCGGTTGGCAGCAATACTAGTGAATCTTTACTTGCAATGATAGTTTCAATGGCCTCTCTTTGCATTTGCCTGAAATCACTGTAACCAAATATTTTATGAAGAACAATCTTCTGCATCACCAAATGGTAGTTCGAGTTCATTAATAGGTATTGTACATTCTTGTAAAGGAGTTGTGCGGTTTGGAATATACTTCTGTAAAAAGAAACGAATGCATTAATGCATTGAGTAGTTTGCACAGTACAGTAAAATGCTGTGATATGTTTTTCTGTCTAAAGCCCTCATAAAACCCCACACTTTTGCAGGTGTGGAAGATGATTTTCAGAGCATGTACATTGATAAATGAGTATACATTATAATTTAATAAGATTCTGCAACTATAATTAAATTTTAATAAGATTCTGAGATTCTGCAACTAATATAGGGCCAAGGAAGTTTGCCACAGGTTCCCCTAATTATGGCGACCCCTTTATTTACATAAAAATTATGTTCAAATAATTGAATAACGAAACAATCTAAGTAGAACAACACAATTACAAAACGGCTAAACTAACAACTAACAACAGTTTAAAACAGCATCAAAGGATCTAGCCCTTTTGCATTTAACACAGACAGATTTCCAAGTCCGAGGATCATCACAGTTATACGTGTTCAACAGTGCGTTCTTATAATACAATTTCAGTCCTGATTTAAAAGCATAAAAACCAATGTTTCTGTCTTGAAGGTTATCAATTAAAATGTTTCAGGTTTTACAAGCTCTAATAAAATACGAGGACTGGACCATTACAGTTTTATAGCAAAACATATTAAGAATTAGCCTTTCTCAAGATGATGAATATCCGCCATTATTTGGGTGGCAACCAATTCTCATTGGGGGTGGATCCAGCAAGGTTTTTCTAGGTGGATGCTGGGTGAGCAGGCGAGTGTTTCTTTATAATTATTTAGGGGGTGGCGGGAGATCATTCAAATGAATTGGCTTCCTAATGACTTGATAGCCAAAGGCGCAAGTTTCCTAGAGAGTCCAGCGGTATGCCCCCGGGAAATTTTGAAAATTAGAACCCTAGAAATGAATTGCGAGCTTCAGTTTGACTTCAAAAAGTTTTCCCTTTGCACCCCTGTTGACTAGGGCCAACATGGGTGTACAACCCTGTGAACCCCCTATAAATCCACCCCTGATACTTGTTAACCAATACAGACAATTAAAAAAATGTGAAAAGCAATTTTTCAAAATAAACTAACCATTTACAAAGCAAATTTACCATCACTTGTCCAGAAAAATATAAAAACTCGCTGTTATGTGAACTTATCTCACAGACTTTGGCTGAAATGCCACCCAAAAATGGCGGTGTGAGAAAGGCTAATTTAATTCAATTGTTGTTGGTTTCACTTCTAGTGATTCCTGATCCTGATATAACCAGCCGAGCACTGTCGTCAATATGTTGTTAATGATTTTATAGAGTATGAATATATCCAGGTACTCGTGCCAGTAAGTTATGGGTAGTAGGTATAGATTATGTAGTCTTGATAGATATGGTATGTTGGTGACAAACCCAAGATTAATAATAAACTTGGTACTTGCCCCTCTCTGCATCGTCTCAATATTTTGAATTAACTGTGTACAGATTGTGGACACAATACGTGGGATGTATACGCAAGATTGCTTCGAACTAGCTTTAAGTACAGATACTTTCTTGCCTTGATGTCAGTCATCTCCAATGTAGACCGCATAATTAATCCAGGCAGATCGTTAGCTTTGGACTTTGCACCTTGCTCATTTGATCTATCCATGTTAATTTGGGACTGATAGTTATACCAAGGTCAGCTATAATAGGCTCTGCCTCCAAATCAGACCCCATTAAACTGTCTGGTCACTCTGGTGCCATACACAATAGCCTATCAAAGGGAAGATGGCTGTGAAACTCATTAGAATAACAATATAACTCATTATCTATGTTGGTCAACGTTTATTCATAAATCTGGTCCTTCACCGTCATGTGTGTATTGTATTCTTGCCCAACTAACCAATAGACACAAAAAAAATACCTGTGGTTCCGGTTCCTGACCGACCCTATTTTTCACTGCCAACCCTATTATTTTTTCAACATGATTGTGGACCCTATTCTCTCCGGGTGGTCGCGGGCTGCTGCCAAAATGGCGTCTGTTGTCACACTAATTATTGAAAAAACCATGAAAAAAATATTTTAAAAAAATATTATTTCTGACCTATCGTCCCTAATTTTTTCGCGATATGAAACCGGAACCACAGGAATTTTTTTTACGCCATAGCAATGTTTTAGGAAAGTCACCTATCCATGACTCGAACAATAGGGGGAAACTTGAAATTGCTATTGGTGGATTTGGTAAAAATACAATACACATGTGACGGTGAAATGACCAGATTTATAAATAACCATTGACTAACATCATAATGAGTTATACTGTTATTCTAATGAGTTTCAGAGCCATCTTCCATTCGGTAGGCTATGCCTATGGAAACACTTTGCAATAACCACATACCATTTTTGTATAAATTGCTTCAACAATGATTTCAACTGATCCATCTGACTTCTTGTGGTACCAGGTATTAAACTTTACATTCATATTCACTAACATCACTGAAACTGGATTATCAGGGTAAATAAACTTCCCGGTTAGATCGCGAGACACAGAACCGTATAAATCAATGAATATTGATAGGTTTTTATTCGATCTAGTAAGTAATTATAAGGAATAACAATTGTAAGTATAGAGTAACAAATAGTGCCTGATATATACCTGTGCGCTCTCTTCGAGTTATATACCGGGTGTCCCAAAAAAAAGTACTCCGGTTTGATTTATAATAACTTCTAAACAAGTAAAGCTATCAAACAGAAATAACTTGCATTAAATAGAGGAAGGACTAACTTAGATTTTGATATATTACAGTTGTATTTTACTTAAAAATTCACGGAGATATTAATGTTCAAAATCGGGAGCATATTTTGGGATAATCAGCGTATCAAATTTTAACTCCAGCGTTTGTTTGCTTAATGACATATCAGGGTAAATTGTATTTCAGCGAATTGTCGTTAGGGTTTGTAAGGGATATGGCGTAGATTTAGACATCTTACATGTAAGTCTTAACTTATTGTTTCCTGAAATATGAACGTTCGAAATTATGTAAGTATTTAATAGGTCTTTGCAAACTTAAGGTACTGAAAGACCATGCAAGGCAGGCGCTTCAATTTTTCTTAAATAACCTATTTTTTATGTTTTTCATGGGTTCAAAACAAAGTTGATTATTTCTCGGTTAGAGCAGGATTAATATTGTTCTTTAATGGAGGAAATAATATTGCTTTTTGCAAATACACATCACAGTATCAAAGCTACTATTTTGTTACGTTTTGTTCCAAAAATGTTGGATGTCTCTGGGGAGTTGCTTGTTATGTCTTTACTTATGGAGTTGTATGGTTTGATTGTGTTTCATTCTCAGTTTATTCTGAACTTGCTAAGATTAAGAAAGGCAAAAGAGTTTGGGTGTTCTTAACAAGATTTCAGAACGTTGCAGAAGTTAGAAAATTCATTCAATGTGAAGTTAGAAAATTCACAATTCCAATGTGACAGCGTGCCCTAATTCAGAACTGCGAACGATCCATGACGATCCTTCGCGATGCAGTGGTCTCATGAAATAAGGAAACGTATTCGTGCTAGGAACACACGCGGATTTCGGACGAATAAATCTTGCTTGTATTTTGTAGATGATAATACTTTGTTTCATAATAAACAATTTGTCAAGTGTCATTTATTTACAGGTAATAGTGCATGTTTCAGTCGGGTAAATCTTGATTAATATTTGATACGCTGTTTTTGGCATATTTCAGACACATCAAGAAATATGCTCCCGATTTTAAACATTTATATGTCCGTAAATTTTTAAGTGAAATACAACTGTAATATATCAAAATCTAAGTTAGTCCTTCCTCTATTTGATGCAAGTTATTTCTCTTTAAAAGCTTTACTTGTTTAGAAGTTATTTCGAATCAAACCGGAGTACTTTTTTTTGGGACACCCGGTACAGTATAATTTCAATAAATGAGACTTACTTCTTTGGCAGGTCTTCGCAATCTAGTCTTACTGATACTGAATATACAAATACACATACAAATACAGGTTAGCTTCAACACAGGTTAGCAGATCTCCTCTGTTTAACACTATAAGTCTTTGTCTCAATATATCTGAATATAAATGTGCGTCAAATTACGTGTCAATCAGGTTAATCTCATTAGTCATGCATTACTATAATTAGTTAATAATTATCCCGTAAAATATATAAAGTTCTGTCAGCGACACAGAAACTATTTTAGGATTACTTCTTTTCTCATAAGAACACAATAAACCTCTGTGATAAAGATATACGCCAAACAATTTTGCTGCATCTTGAGCATTTCTGCAATGTAGTGTCAACAGAATATCCTCAAAGGTAACTTCAAAGTCTGAGGATACATAATTGACACATTCATTTGCCTGTCCGATCTGGAACAAAAATTAAAGAATGCACATATTAAAGAATATAAATCTTTACCTACGCATGGCTAACTGGCTCCGATTAAAGTCATTTAATACTCTAGATTTACAAATACCTTCGACTTGTTGTTAACAGATAACTTTTTCAAACATAACAATGTTTCATTCGAATGCTTCTCCACCATAAGACTTTTTGCCTTTTTAATGTCAGCTGAAGTAACAGAATATTTATGTATTGTTCTGTAATGATGGTCTAAACCATCTTGAGCATAGCAGTGTGCGTTGTCCTCGCATTCCTCATGCGGACAAGGGAGTTTATTATCTAAGAACGCTCTGTGATAGGGTCTGTCCTCTTTTGTTGTGAGATTGTCCGCCATTTTGTCTCTGTAATCTGCCAGTAGTTATTTTTTCCCTTGCCTTCCCTTTTCCCCTTGCGCGCGTCCACCTTTGGTACTGATATATATATATATATATATATACCTATTCATCCCTATAAAATTGAAATTCAAATAACGACTGGGGACGAGTCTGTCGCTGACAAGCAACATTTTGCGCAGGTATTTCCACACACAACATTGAGTCAAGTGTCTTAAATCCCTAGTTTTCTGTTTTCTTCTGGGGTTTTTTCGTCGTCGAGAAATCGAGTTTGCGTTCACGCATCGCAGGCTCAGGGTGCAACAATTAATCCAAAATGCCATCTTCGACTCCACGATTCATATATAATAGTAAGAAGCTTGTATTTATGTACGTAATAGCCGGCTCATGCCATGCTTGTGGTGCATTTATTGTATGGTTCTCATTTGCTTGATTTATTGTATGGTTCTCATTTGCCTAATACAATAACATTTAGTTCACAATACAATATAAACAAGGGCAAGTTAAAGGTTTGACCATATTAAAATACATGTATTGAAATTCGCACAATAGCTACTAGAATTCGCGCAAGTAAAGATAAAGCGAGAGTTCAATCAAAATACCAAAAAGAACTAAGACATTTATTGTATGGTTCTCGGTTGCCTAATACAATAACATTTAGCTCGACATGAATTTTAACTGGTATCATATTTCATAATATAATGAATTTTGACAGTAAAAACGCGCCATATAATACATGTATTAAAATTTGCGCAGTAGCTACTAGAATTGGCGCAAGTAAAGATAAAGCGTGCGTTCAGTGAAATATCAACAAGAACTAAGACATTTATTGTATGGTTCTCATTTTCCTAATACAACTCAACTCATAGTTATTATGTGCTCATTTGTTATCATGTGCTCATTAATTCTTATATCAATATTGGAACATTATCACAGAATACTGCGTAGCGCAAAATCTCCATTCTTCAAAAACGTATCATTCAAGGCAACTGAAAGGCGAAGAAGACAATGATAAGATATACAACATATTGTGACTGCTTCACTACTCAGAATCCATGATCCATGATCATGATTTGATAAAGTTGAATATGGTCACGTGATTTTCAGTGTGAACCTGAGATACTATCTATAGATATTATTACCAAGTATCTGATATTAAACTAAAATGTGATTAAAGCACAAGAGATGTTACCTATGTCTCATTTTATATTATTTTTTTCCTATGAAGGTTTGTTACTTGTGCAAAAGCACAACTTTAGGTTTCAAACAGTTTCTGCCTTCTGCTTTTTGTTGTCAAATTATTGATTTTCTTTGGATAAATCTACCGTATCTACCGCTGAAACTGTTCTATTCGAACTCTCTTGCTCCTCATTCCCTTCTCTATTACACCATAGCCAATCTCGTTCCCCGAGCCTGCGATCCTCGGGAAGGAAACAAAGGCTCTGGGATAATCCGTTGCCGAAAGCCAGGAATTCTGGCTAAGATTGAACTGCACATTCCATATCAACGGCCAATCAGATTCCTTCCTGAAACGGATTATCCCAGAGCCTTCATTTCCTTCCCAAGGACCGCAGGGAACGAGATTGCACCATAGTGCGCATGTCATCATTTTCAGGTCAGTGTGAACGTCTGAGTAGGCGTCTTGTTTGTCCAAAGTGTATTCTAAGCCAAATATATAGTATTAGCAATGGTGTTTACAAATATTATAGATGCTGTGTTTTGGTGAGCGTATACATGGTTAATTTATGCATACATTGTATGTCATTCTAGTTTAATCACAATAAGTTTATGCACGTTTCCAGAACTACTCAAACATTGCGAACTTCATAGTTTGGAACTACAAGCGAAACTAGTAGAGCAATCTGGAATTTCAGGCTAGTAAACATGCTCGGAAGCAAATGCAATTATCTTTAAGTGCTTATTATGTAACATTTGTGGAGAATATAACGTCATCGTCCGGATTAATCTCAAGTTCACACAGAAGTTACTATGTTTGTCATTGATACACATGTTATAATATAACTATAAAGTTTCACTTTAAAGTGTCTAGTAGCATTGATTACCACAGCCTCCAGCTCTTGGAGGTTGTCCAATATGTTTGCGATGGAACTTCAACTTGTTCTTCACTCTCCTCTCCCTGTTCACACCTTTGAGTTTGTTCTAGTGCCCTCAGGAGGGGGTATCGCTTCTTAGAATAAGCACATTCACATTCCTTCGAACTTGTCCTATTTCTTTCATGCTTCTGTTGCACAAACGATTAGATGTCGAAAACATCTCACTTCTGTCCAGTTATAAGCTGGATGCATCAATGCTTGGGTCCACAATAGTCCAAAAATCACATTCTTCTTTTGTGCACTTTCATTTGGCCTTGTCTCTTCGTCCATTGAACAAGTAGAGTTCGCCTGTTTTCATTTTCATAAAGCCATATCTAATAAGGCATGCGACTTTGGCCATGTACGTTTTGTCGTTCAATCCCATCCTGTCTATAACTTCCTTGTCAGGTGATGCTTAATTTGATGGTTGTGGGAGTTTTTCCGGTAACAGTTGTTCCACTGTTATCATACTTGCTTCTGTGTTGGTATGTGCATTGTCAGTTTTCTCTGTTCCACTGTCCATTGTTTCCTTGTGATTCGATAGTTGGTTAGAAGGTTGCACTTCTTCTTGCAGCAGTCTTCTTTTGTCTCTCCATCTCTATTTTCAGCTAATGTTGTTGACTTCATTTGAGGGCTCTCTTTCAGAACGTTGTCTTCAGTCAACCAGTATCCTTCCATGTCGTCCCTACGTTTCTCACCATCGGAGGAGGAGATGTTATGTTCTTCTATTTCTTCGCTTGTGCTATCATCATTGCTGTTTAGCTCCTCTTCTCTTACGTGCAAGATGTCGCGAATGTAACCCAGCCACAAAACTGTCATGGATTGTTTGCGACAATTCCTCAATGACATGAGCGTCCTCCTCACGCAAATCAGCATTGGCAAAGTGTCGCACGTATTCATTGCTGAACAGACTTTCCCCCTTGTTTGCAGCAATTGTCAACGGTCCAGAGTGATTTGGCTTGTACCAGAGCTCGTGTCGACCGATGTGCCCGCGGTTTGCATTGATTGCTCCCGCTATCCACGCAATACAATCCATTGTGTGGTCATAAATCCACTTGTCAATTCCTGGTAGAGTTTGAGGCAATGGTGTTGTGAATATCTCAGTTCTACGCTGCACGTTATCGTCATCTTCTTTACCAAAATTTGGCAGCGTATTTGTGGTGGGTGATGTAGAAGGGGCTATTATTTAATACCGTCTTTGGTAGGCTGTGCTTCACCACAGGATGCATTTGGCAAGGTTGGATTGCTTCGTGCTGGCCAACCACTTGTCCATGAGGACCAGCTGAGTTTCGTTGTTCTTGTTAGTGAGCGATGCAATTTAGCTGGTGGGAATAACACAATGGAAAATGTTTGACCAAGATGTTTTGCCCGAATCTTTGATGCCAACCACTACCAATTTCCTCACCTTGTGAGGCATGCTGAATGTGAGCAGGCACTGATAGAGCTTATTATAAGGAGTTGACAATACCTTCCAGAAAATACCCAGGCTTTGGCGGTTTGGAACTGTGGATTTGCAAGTCAAAGAGGTTATCGTAAACATGTGAAAAGAAAACATGGTTGGTATTACTATTTTGACAAGAAACCGAACATATCCATCAACACTTTGGTCACTTTGCCATCTGCCCTGAATGGAATTAATGAAAATGGTTCCAAAACAATTCCTAGCTGCTCTACAGATAATGATTTCGCACGTTCATTTTTGCAGTGGCTTCAAAGTAGCTATGGGGGAGAGAAATCCACCCCTCTGGAACTTCTGTCTATAGAAAGCCCACTCACACTGGTCAATACTCCCATATATAATGCTTCACACCCTGGTCAAGAAAAATTGCTTGGATCCGTGCTCTCATAAATCACGCCTACAAAATCTGCAGTAATGCCACTCTCCTGAACAACAAATTAAAACAAATCTAAAATTTCATGTCTTGGAATCGTTTCCCTCGCAAATTAACCCAAAAACTTATTAACCAATTTAAACCATCACCACCAGTATCTAATGACAACGAAGCCACAATGACTGATTCAAACAAAACTCCTAATATGTGGTTGCAGCTACCCTATTTTGGCAAATTTGGTGAAAGACTAACTTGTTCGTTGATACACAAAATAACCCCTCTCCTCATATTAAAATGCCGATTCTTTATTAACTGGAAAACCATTAACAGCAACATATTTGTATCATGCAAAGGTAAAACCCCGAAAACTTATCAAAGCTCTGTAGTCTATGAATTTACTTGCCCTGGATGTAATAGTAGGTACATTGGCAAAACTGATCGCTGCTTATACACCAGAACTAAGGAACATTCATATCCCACAGAATCTGTAATCCATCAACACCTCTATACTTGCGAACAGTTTCAACATATTAAAGCCCTTTTAGAACTATATCTCGACGATGACAGAAAGTTTGATCAAACCAGTATAATTGGCTGAACATGTTTTCAACAACACTAAAATAATTGATAAATCTAAGACACTTAGAAAAAATCCAAGACCGGCTAACTATAGAACTAGCCAGGTGAAGTTTTTTTCTAAGTGTTGCATGACATTTAGAAAAAAAATTTCAGCCGGCTAGTTTTATGAGTTAGCCGGTCATTTCAGTTGTTAGCTGGTCGTTACCCGGTCGAATTTACTTGGATTTCTATTGTTAACTGGTAGCCGATCATCTTCTGTAGAAAATAAATTCACTCAACACTTAGAAAAAATCCAAGATATAGCTACAAAACTGGCCGGGTGAAGTTTTTTTCTATGTATAAGTGTTGTAAGTGTTGATCAATGCTATAAAACTTGGTTGACACTAAGGAAAAAATTGCACTTGGCTATTTTAATTAATATACACATTAGTAAAAAGATAATTTGATATTATGTAAAAGAAAAGAACACATATCACGGTGGTTGGTTGCTATGCAAATTCCTCCCTCATCAACTGGTTGGTCACATGACACCTAAACAATGGCGCAAGCAATTTATATGAGTGGCGAAATAGCTAGGTATTATTTTGAATTTTTCAAGCTTTTTTCGCAGTGAAATTGTTTTTTAAATATTTTAATAGAACAAACTACACTCTCGAAAGTGATATATGTTGTCAATTTTCCCAATATGTTGCGAAATAAGTTTAAAATGCCCGTCGAACTGACCCTACTTTAAGACAAATTTCATGTTTCTATGGCGACTGCTTGCGACAAAATTTACCATGAAGGGTCCCCTAGGAAAGGCAAAGTGAAATAACACATTTTCACTTTTATTCTCCCCCTTAGTAGTGTATATATTCCGTGTAAATTCAACAAAACCGGAAATTTCGCCATATTTTCGTCGAATAATCGCGATAACTTTGAATTTATTAATTTGAATTTATTAAATTTGCCACTGAAAAAGACGTACTTTACATATACAAAAAACTACTAAATTACCCTAGTAAGTAAAATGGCAGGGTCACCACAACAGCAGTTGCCAATTACCGTGGGCCCTATGTTTAAATATTTATAAAAAACAATAATGAATGTTCTTACAGTTAAATGCAACAAGAAATTGGTTTGTTCAGCGGACGTCCTCGATTACACTTGATGCAAACTGTTTTGAAAGAGCGCGGATCGTCCCATTGATAATATCACAATGATGCTTTGTAATAATTGAGCATGATTGGTTTAAAAGATATCAGGTTGTTAGTACTCAAACAAAGTTCATCTGCCAAAACGTTCCATACTCTACATGTTCGTACAAAGTAAGAACGCTGATATGTGGTTGTCTTGCATTTTGGCACTACAAACTTTATCACGTTGCTCGCTGATGATCTGGTCGACCTAGTGTTTCTGGCCGTAGGTATAACGGTATGATCTATAATGACTAGTCGGTGAATGATCTTGAAGAAAAATATCATATCCTGCAGTTCATGCCAATAGGTAATAGGGATAAGATTCAATTTTTTCAATCGAAGAGTGTAATCTACATTAGAACTGTATGGTATGCTAAGAATATATCTCGTTGCACGCCTTTGTATGCGCTCTAATTTACCAATTAATTGGACGAACTGCGGAGCCCACATCTGGGTGGCATAACCTAAATGAGGTCGAATCAGTCCTAGATAGAGCGTACGCCTGATTGATACACCTTTGATATAAATGGTGTTTCGCTTAATATATCCTAAAAGTTTATTGGCCTTGCCAGCTTGTTCTGAGACTTGTTTATTCCAGGTTAATTTGTTTGTAGTCCATACACCTAGATCTCGTTCATCTTCAATCTTTTCGAGATCAGTATCAGTAAGTCTATATGTTGTTGAAACCGCCTTGATTTTTCTAGTAACACTCATAGCTTTGCACTTCGTTGCATTAAAAACAAGGCCTGAGGCGACGGACCAGGTTTGCAAGCTGTCAAGATCAGACTGTAGCAAATTAGTATCCTCTAGATTTCTAAGTTGTCTGCCCATCTTTATATCATCAGCATACATTGTAGCACGACTATTAGAAATTAATTTTGGCAAATCGCTAACGTACAACAAGAAGAAAACAGGACCCAATATGGATCCTTGGGGCACCCCGGAAGTAACAGGAAGCTCATCCGAAGTAGCACCCATAACGGTAACACGTTGTCGACGTTCAGATAGGTATGAGCGAAACCACTTAAGCAAATTTCCACTGAAACCAGCCTTGTATAATTTCTGTATCAATCGATTGTGGCTGACCATGTCAAATGCCTTTGACATGTCCAAATACACAAGATCTATCTGTTCTCCGTGGTCGAGTAATGAACCAACATGATCTAGCGCCTCGAGTAAATTAGTAACACACGACTTTCCAGTTAAATATCCATGTTGACATGCTGGAATTGACTTATACAACTGATCTTTGATGTTGTTTAATATGCAACGTTCTAAGACTTTTGAAATTACTGACAATAGAGATATTGGACGATAGTTTTCTACATGTTCTCGTTCGTTCTTTTTATAAATAGGAACCATGTTGGCTAATTTCCAATCCCTCGGCATTTCTCCAGTCCTTAAAGATTTATTAAATAATTTGCACAAAGATGGTGCAATTACCGATGCAGTTTCTTTTAGCAGTTTGGCAGGAATTCCGTCCGGTCCGGTAGCTTTACTAATATCGAGAGTTTTAAGAATTTCTTGCACTTCTGTGACTGAAAGAATCAACGAATCAACCAACGTGTCGGCAATACATTCTGTAACTTCGCACGATGCATCTAGACGTGAGTCCTCTGTGATGGTATATACGGAACTAAAGTACCTGTTAAACAAGTTCGCAATTTCCTCTGGAGTGTCAGCATTTTCTCGCGGATTTGACTGCTCTGCTGTTTGATGACTGTGTATTTCATTTTCCATAGAAACTAAACCAGGTATATCTCTGGATTTTGATTTTAATTTCAGAATTGACCACAAGCGCTTTGGATTTGTTCTGAAATCAGCATTTGCCAACTCAAAGTAACTTTCACGGGCTTCTTTAAGTGACTTCTTTACTTCGGTCCGCATACATCTGAATTTATATTTCAGACATTCTGTAGGACGAGATCTTAACTTTTGGCGAAGGGTATTTTTCCTCCTAATCATATTCAGTATAGTGCCGTTTATCCATGGTAATGGGTTACGACCCATTAGTTTCTTAGATGATATAAAATCGTTCACAGCAGCCAAGAAAACATCCTTCCACTGCTGCCAATCCCTGTCGATATCATTCTCATCCTGTCGATATCATCTCATTCTCGGAAGAAAAACTAAAATCAAAGTTGGAAATCATCTTATTTTGTTTCATTTAAACTGGGATCAAGCTCAGGAAATAGGTAAGAAACTTCGTTCGAAATCATGTTTCATTTGCATATTTATAGCAATATGCGTTCGCCATATTGGATTCCTTCGTCTCGAAGTATATCGTTAATTTTCATTTATTATAATGTGTATTGATATTTATAGCCCATTATCTACATGCAGAAAAGGTAAAAGGTGTAATAAGAGTTCAAATCATAGAGGAAAATGTAATTCTGAGAAGCAGTCTTGCAAATTCTGGGTGAATTCTCCTGTATACAATCTCAAGGCAAGTCGAGCTGAAGTGATCAGTCAGAGGAAGGAAATTCAATGTTGGGAAGCAAATTTAAACCAGGCCGACTATCAAATTTCGTCCAAAAGGCAGGAACTAGAAGAGCTTGCAAAATATACAGAGGAACAGGCATCTACAACCAGTTAGTGAAATTATTTCCAGTTAATATGAGGTTTAATTGTATGTATTATTATAATACTTGTATATGACTGTAATAATATTAGATAGTCTATTCAAGGTCTTAAGGTCGTGCCAGATGGTGTTTGCAGGGAACCAGATGGTTCAGGTCCTCAGACAATTGGAAGAAGAAATTGTACTATTCCCTATTATGATTGTATTATCATTGAACCATACAGGCCGTCATATATTAAACAATACCAATGACCTAGATTGAACATGATACTGTTGTTAAAAGCTATTTACTTTTTTCGATTGACTCTTGAAATTACAGCTAATTTTAACACTAATATTTAGTCCATTGATCCACGGCTTTATGTATTTACATATACAGCTCATTTGCAGATCAGTGAATGGTTCATTGGCATGCACTCATGTGCATACTAATTCAAACTGATTTACAGTGCAGTGTTCCACATAAATATGATATTGATTAATATTGATGTGGCATGAGCACAAAATTCGTGTTGACACTGAATTCAGGTATATTATTAATGTAACTGATACCTGAGAAAGATTCCGTAAGGTGTATTTATTATGAAAAATATAAAATAACCCTCAATATTTCGAGCATGCCCAGATATTGCAGAATATAGCCTACACTTTATGTCTATTGTGTAAACAGTGTGTATATATACAGAATAGATTGTATAATGCATATATGTATACACTATAGACATGTAGGATATATTTGTGCATATTCTGCAGCCTATATATACATATTCACAATAGACAATGTATTGTCAAAATTGTATCTGGTGTATATATAGGAGTGAGTGAGTGAATGTCAAAGAATATATAGTGTAGGCTATATTGTGTATTGTATATATATATACGTATATTATCAGTATATTGTCAGAAATGTACATAGTGTATATAGTGAGTGTTTAAGTGAATGTCAAAGAGTATATATAGTGTCATATTGCCTGTTTGACTGAATGTCAAAGAGTAGCTATATATAGTGTATACTGTGTATGTAGGCTATATAGTGTATAGGCTACATATATACTCAATATACGTATTATCAGTATATAGTCAAATTTAAAGTATGTATACTGTATAGGGAGTGTTTGAGTGAATATCAGTGAATATCGGGATTTTTTTAAGAACGAGGAAACGTGCATGCCTTTATGACTTATGTATCATATGACTGTGTGTCAGTCACTGAATGTATAAAGCGGGATTTTTTTAGGAAGAAGGAAACATATATGCCTTTATGATTTATGTATCATATGACTATGCGTCATTGATTGTATATAAAGCGGGATTCTTTAAAGAACAACGAAACATGCCTTTATGACTTGTAGGTATAAATATAACTATAAGACCGGTTTGAGTGCTAAAATGTGTAATAGAATATTTGATTACAAAACAACGTTTCATATATCTGCATGCATTAATATTTACAATCAAGTTGATAAAATTAAGCGAGAATATACAGTATATACAGTTTTGACTATGTCTAAATAGGCATGTATATTGTGTATATTTTGTATATGTATACCATAGTCTATACACTATATACACAATATATATAGACTAGCTATAGCAAGTTGATAAAAGCGAGATTGAGAGAATATACAGTTTTGACTATAGACATGTTTCTCACCGGTCAGTATAATCTGCAGACTGCAGACCGGACTGGGTACAAAATGCAGACTGGGGGTATAAAATGCAGACTAAGGATAAAATGCAGACTGGGGGTGAATTAGGGATATTTTACAAATTCCCGCCAAGCCATAGTCAAAATGGACGAAGACAGCGATGTAGAGGTATTGATATTATATGAATATTTATATAATTTATTCTCATTCAACTGTAAAACTTGATAATATTTCTTTGCGTTTAATATTTGAACGTTTGGTTACGTTGCATTAGATCGGAACAATGAAATCTGGACGTTTTGAGTGTGAAATTGTAATGGTTTTGAGTGTGAAATTGTAATGGTATATATCATGTCAACTGTCAAGCACATGGTTTTGTATTAGCAATTTTTCATATTTTCAAGCGTTTCGCTCCTGTAATTCAAGTTCATATACATATATAGACCAATAGCAAGCTTGCGTTTGCCGAGTTTTGAAACATATATGAGTAGAGTGCTTGTCAACAGTCGACACGATATATACCATTAAAATTTCACACTCAAAACGTCCAGATTTCATTGTTCCGATCTAATGCAAAGTAACCAAATGTTCAAATATTAAACGCAAAGAAATGTGTTAAAGTTATCAAGTTTTACGGTTGAATGAGAATAATATAAATATTCATATTATAATATCAATACCTCTACTTCGCTGTCTTCTTCGTCCATTTTGATGAAAGTGACTAGCTTCGACATTAATATTATCAACAACAACGATCATGTGACTATGGCTTGGCGGGAATTTGTAAAATATCCCTAATTCACCCCCAGTCTGCATTTTATCCTCAGTCTGCATTTTATACCCCCAGTCTGCATTTTGTACCCAGTCCGGTCTGCATTTTGTACCCAGTCCGGTCTGCAGTCTGCAGATTATACTGACCGTGTTTCTCACATGTATATTGTGTATAGTAGATGAGTATACACTGTAAAGCATATGTATACAAAATATGCAGTGTATACTGGTACAGTGGTAGAGTATATTGTGTATATTCTGCAATACCGCGGTAACCGTACGGCTTAGTGCAAATTTCGCATTCCGAAATTTGGTTTTTGTTCGGCCTTCCATGTTGCGTCAAGCGAGGTAGGCTCGAAATTAAACTTCATAGCCACCAAAGCTTGGTTCCAAAAATGCTTTGGTCTCTCCATTTCATTGTTATCCGCGCCTAAGTTTAGATTAGATAACTTCGAAGAGACATTGCCGGCCGCCATATTTGAACATTTTGGTGGGAATGCGAGCCTGCGCTTCCGGGAGGATTTTGCATAGCAACCGACCGCCGTGTATTTTTATAACTTCGTGCATATTTAGGATTTGATTTATTTGGATTTCACTCTTACAACTGTTTGCCCATTGAAGAGCATACAACATTTTCCACTCAAAATGGAGATACTATAACTAATTTTACAAATATATGGTCTATTAAGCAGATTAAATTATGTGCTTAAATCCTTTCACACTCCATACCGCCATTTCTAATCGAACATGCACTGTCCAGCAATGAAGTCCTTCTAATTGTGTAACTTTGATGTTTATTGGTATGGGCAGAGCCAGTATCACATCAAAGTCAATGTCACAGCAAATAAACATGAAAGTTACAAAAACAAAACAAGCATGTAATTAACATTAACAAATCATGCAACGCATGTTCATTTACATAGTAATGGTTCATAATCACACTGTTCGTTTTGTTGAACAAACCTAAGGTTAATAGGTTTTGTTTGTGGAAACACCACGTAAATTTATTACTGCAAAGCTTTCGATCCGTAAGCCCGGATCTTCATCAGTGCTAATAATATGTGACTTGTTTAATTCACACGCTGTTTTTATATACAAAAGTGTCGTGATCTGTTGGCTTGCGTCATTTGAAATTTAATTAAACGGCACATCAACCACGTCATTCCAAACGTAGTGAAGTGATTCCAATTAACGCACGCGCATCCAAGACAAGAGAAATTAATTTTGCACATTAAAGAGAGCACGCCACGTACTATCTAGTGGCTTTCCCTCCTGATCTATAGTATTGTGCTTCTCAATTTCAATTGACTCTCTCATTTTGCGAGAGAACTTGTGACTATCAATCACCAGAATGGTTGCTTCGTCCCATTTTATACGATGGTCGTAAGTCCAAGTATGTTTAGCCACAGCAGATTTATCTTGCTCGGCTTTCTCGCAATTCGTCTTGTGTTCCTTAAGACGTAGTGAGAGATTTCGACCAGTTTCACCAATATAAACCAGACCACATTCACAAGGAATGCGGTACACACCAGGTTTCTGAGATTCATTTACATTGTCCTTATGTGTGCAAAGAGCTCGAAACAATTTGTTTTCGCTGGAATGGTATACCTTTATACCTGCTTCATTCCTCAAAATTCTTTCGATTTTGTGTGAAGCTGGGCCAATGTATGGTAGACAAACAGACGACTGATACTCAATCTTCTGCTGTATACTTTGTGGCGTTTTCATAGCATTATCTATGAAATGCCGTGGGTAACCATTCGTTTTTAGAACATTTCTTAAATGTTCTAATTCATTGTCAACGTTACTTACCTCACAAATTGTTTTCGCTCGGTTGATGAGTGTCTTACACACAGAGTTTTTGATACTAGGATGATGAAATGAATTATAATGCAGATACCTGTCTGTATGTGTTGGTTTCCTATAAACCTTATGTCCTAGCGACCCATCATCATGTATAGTGAAAAGAACATCTAAGATCTTGATCGATGGATGCAAACTATTAATGTGGTCTAGAAACTTTTGTAGATTATCTAGTCCATGAGACCAGCTACTCAATGTATCATCCACGTATCTGAACCAGAAACCAGGTTTCAACTTTGCAGTAGATAAGGCCTTCTTTTCAAATTCCTCCATGAACAAATTAGCCATAACAGGCGACAATGGACTTCCCATTGGATCGCCAAGGAGGGAAAGCCACTAGATAGTACGTGGCGTGCTCTCTTTAATGTGCAAAATTAATTTCTCTTGTCTTGGATGCGCGGGCGTTAATTGGAATCACTTCAGTACGTTTGGAATGACGTGGTTGATGTGCCGTTTAATTAAATTTCAAATGACGCGAGCCAACAGATCACGACACTTTTGTATATAAAAACAGCGTGTGAATTAAACAAGTCACATATTATTAGCACTGATGAAGATCCGGGCTTACGGATCGAAAGCTTTGCAGTAATAAATTTACGTGGTGTTTCCACAAACAAAACCTATTATATTTTATCACCATGCAAACATACCAAGAACTTATTAAACCTAAGGTTGATTCGCTCTCGACGATTTGTCTGTACCTAGTCCGGTGAATGTGTTTTCCATATGATTATGAAAATTATCTTATTGAAACATTGAATTGAATAAATTGTGTTATACAAAACGCTGTCAAAAATGTAATAAACTGATACAATGGCTCCTATTACATGTTTTATCTAATGTGCCATTGTTTTGAATGATCAAACTATCAGTCACTAATATGTTGCGACAAACACACATATATATATATAGGTACCATGATAGGTATTTCCAAAACTCATAAATAATTGATGAAGGATAGGCCCCAGTTACACGATACTGGATTCGCATTGGAGCGACATCGACTTTTACTGCTTCTAGGTGAACTTGGCACTTAAAATTATGATAATATAACATGAGGGCAGACAAGGCTGGAAAAGACATTAAATTGATGTCGCTCCAATATGAATCCGGTATCGTGTAACTTTCATGTAGCACCTTGCCATTCCACCTGAAAATCTGATGACAAATAATGCAAGTGATCATATATCACTCAACTATCCTATCATCAATGTATAATAATAGTATAATTAATTCTGTCACTAATGCTTCAGAAGTGTATGTAATGCATTAATATATAATAATTACCAATGCATATTTAAGTCACTTTTGTCACTAATGCTTTAACACCGCCATTTTTTGATAGTTGTCCAAAACGTTTGGGAGGACAGTCGAGGAGTGTCATCTGTTCGTTGCTCATCAGGATTTGCTTCAATGCTTCGACCACAGGACAACAACTTGTTGAAACCCTCACGTTCAGTTCAGTTGTTCCAGGTGGGGAACGATGTCTGGATGTTGCTCCACGAACGTCTCAATGTTGAACACTTCTCGGCCACACACCGATTTCGGGATCAGGTTTTGTACAGAATGCGATTTCGTCGAAATGTTGCTTCAATTTCGCCTGCCGCCAATGTTCAATAAATGATTAAACATGACCCCTCTGGAGATTCTTATAGAATTTGTATTTTATGAGATTGGCAACCTTCGTCATGTATGGTATATTGTTTAACTGCCAATGTTCTGGAGTGTTGTCAGGTGGTTGGGACCGTTCACGATCGTGCATTGATGTTGATGCTTGCCGATTTAGGATTGTTGCCAGAGGTTGGATTGGTGAATCGGTTGTTTCTGTGCCCGGGTCAGCAACTGATGCCATTCGAAGATCTTGTGGTGCTAGTGTTGATGGTTGCTCTGTTGGAGGAGTTGGGAGTGCAGCGGTGGTGTCCTCATTCTTGTTGGATGCCTCGACTGGTTGGACTTCGGATATTTGATGTTCTATTGGAGAAGTTGGGAGTGGAGCAGTGGTGTTTTCATTTTCACTGGATGGTTGGACTGGTTCGATTTGGGACACTTTATGTGATGGTGTTGATGCTTGTGCCATGTTCTCATTATCCTGGTCAACTAATTCAACATTGGAAAGCAAGCCATCATCAGAGGAACTGTCACCCATGAACAATTGGTGGCTATGTTGACGTTTTCTAGCCAGATGTCTGCTTTTGAATTCAGCTATGAACCCAGGATTATTATGGCTTCGTCATTCAGTTGTGATTTTGTGCAGGCTCAAGATCTGCCTTGTTAATTTGGACTATGCCGCTCCTTGTCAACTGAGCATTAGAAATGCGCAAAGGTACAAGACTGTTATGCTACGCTCTTCGTACCACAGCTCTTCAGGAGCGATCAGACTTCGATTTCTGTTTATCTGGTCAGTAATCCACATGATGCAGTGCATTGAGTTGTCAAATAACCACTTGTCAATTCCAAACAGTGTTGTGGGAAGGGACAAGGTTTGGAAAAGTTACTTTTTTTACATAATAGGTTTACCTTGTAAGATTTATGCTTGGCACACAGGATGTTGAGAGGGAGTTATCCAGTTCCTATTCTGAAGGCGAAGCAACTGGTTCTACTCAAACAAACAAAGAAAGAAACAACGCAAGAGTTCACCAGAACCAGCTGAACTAGAAACACAGTTTCCAGAATCTGTGTCCATCGAGCAGCTCCTCATGCCTGGAAAACTTGTGAAGGCACAACAAAAAGATAGGGTAACACTTGACCTGGAGTCATTTGATGTAAAGAATTGGGCTGGCAAAATGAAGCAATTCCAAAATTAGAACTTTTACTTGAAAGAGAAAAGTTTTCATCAGGTGCCTTTAGGGATGCATTCAATGGGATTGCAGAAGTAAACGGTGAGCGGAAAATGTATGTTGTTAAAATGTACAATGAAAAAGCTGTGCGGATAATTCAGAACATTTTGAACACTGCTGAAGAGGATCATGCTCGCAAGCAAGTGCAAATGCATGCAGTTGCTAGGTACATTACCAAAGGCTTTTCTTTGAGAGTCTGAGTTTGGTGAATGCTTTAAGTATAACAAAGTGCATTAATCCTGTCTTAATGACAAAACTGTTACTGTGAAAGATTTTGTCCCAGGAAAGTTTGCAAAATATGTGAATAACAATGGAAATGTGTTGCCCCACCTGAAAGCAGCAGCAGTGAAATTAAAGAAATTTATGCCAAAGCCCAGTCCCTCGTTTACTACTCCTATTCTGCCACATAACACAAGATGATGCTGACAGATATTCAAGGTCAAAATATAATCTATATGACCCAGAGATTTCAACATGATGATGAGCTATATTTTTGTTGTGAGAAGCTATCAACAACTGGTATGGAAAATTTCCTCAGTGAACACGAGCATAACAAGTACTGCCAAATGCTAAAACTTGAACAAGAACAAGACCAAGAACTAGATAACTAAATTTGTACAGTTATATGAGATTGACATTTTGATGTTCCAATCCTTAAGTGTCTTGCCAATCCATGGTACAATAATTACAAAACTGTGTTATGTTAAGTTTTGTTGCACTGCTTTTAACATATAATGCTTTGTGCCACTGTGCAGTAGGTATACAGACTAAAATTCAATAACTGTGGATTGCAAGATATTCAACTAGCTAAACTAGAAATAACTATTGCAAGGAAAGTGCTGCCTCACCCCCAAGGGATCAAAGGCACCATGCAAATTTTTCTGAATAATTTTTCTGCAAACAATGCACCTGCTTTCTTCTGCAAACAATTTCTTTGCCCATCTTATTGCTGTGGTTTTCATTATAAGTTTATATACCGGGTGTCCCCCAAAAAACTTACACTGTTTAATTTCATGTAAGATTTATAAAAACTATAAAAGGTATGAAACTCAAATAAATTTTATTGTATTCAGGAAAGGCTAACTTAGATTTTGATATACAGCCCTAAAATTTTGTTTAATATTACGTGAGATACAAATGTTTGAATTTGGCACACACTTTAAAAATGAGTAAAAAAAGTAGAGAAACATGGCTGATCAAATTTATATGAAAACAATTGCCATTTTCCACAAAAATTAACAATTTCAATTTTAGCATTTCAACTCGTTTAATTTCGGGCAATGTCCTAGTATAACGACCGGGGGGGGTTTGTGGGGGGTGTCACACCCCCCCAACTAAGACGATTTGAAAATTTCAGGTAAATCCATGAACAACTGGCGTTAATAAATCAGGTAAAAAATCTTGAAAACTCGTAAGGGAAACGGGCAAATAATAGAGGATTGAAATGCGGAAAATAGATAAGGTTTTAATTTATTATGGCTACGTTGATACGTTCAAGAGGTTTTCCGTCTTTGCAACGTGGCCAAGGCTTTATTTTGCAAGAATACAAATATTGAATAAAAAAGAATACGTTATTGCACGTCCGTATTTACTATTCCCATCGGCAAAAATAACCAGAATTTTTTTTCGCGAAGTAAATTTATTATTCACTTCCGTTTTTTGGGCGCTTCCGGTTTTGACAAATACTGAAATACATGTGTTTACAAAGTCAAACCACAGTCTACACACAAGGTACGTGCAAGAAATTATATTAATTTCAATATTTCCTCTACTTTTTGATAATGATACAGTGTATTTGAAATACATAGAATTATTTGTTTGCTTAAATTGATACAGCAACTCTTTATGTTAATAAAATTACAATATTTTGCGACATGTGTATTGTGTGCAGTGTGCTGTGTACTATATCATATTTTTACTCGTATATAGTTCGTTAATTCTACACAAATGGCCCATTATGGCCGATATATACGCAATACTCGTCTAATATCTAAAGATCTGTCTCGTAGATTTGTTACATTGTTGAATATTTTAGGTTGAATGAGCCACTACGGGGGCATTGTCCTAGCCTAGTATTACTATTCTCTATATTATACGTGACTGTATAATCCATATCTTTACGCATTTATATATTCATTATACAGTGAACAGCGTCTTGATGTTAACCTAAGTATAAAGTATGTGACTTTTTGTGATTTTGGGGCAAACAAACACGAGGAATGAGGAATTCCCAATACTGAATGTCTGACAGTGACAGTCTGAGTGTCTGACAAAGACTGTGGAATGAAACACAGGAAAATTGACCCGGCCGAACGGACCAATCGAAAGCGTGTGATCTGCCTACGATGCGACAAAGTACTAAACGCAGATAATACGACATATCACCAGCAATCAATACACAAAGGACTGACGCCGAAGTTTCAAGATATAGTCGAAAAATCCCAACGGCTCCTGAATTTTGAATCTTTCAAACCTGTCGAACTTTTGAGTGAGGTATAATTTGAAATTTTTTTATAATAATATAATTGATGCAGACATGCAGTAGCCAGACTGAGATTTTGTACAGCTGTATTATGTCTGTTTATCGGCATGTTGCTGTGTGTACTTCGATTCTATTTGATTCCATTTGGAAACAACTAGTGTATGCAAAAAGCAAGACAGACGGTGTGTATAGTCGAAGAAGTATAGAACATTTAAATGAGGTTATGATATAGATTTTATGCTAATATAATGTATTTTTATGTATAATATCTATTTTTGGATAGTCTATTGGTTCCTGTCAACAGCCAACAAAATGCGAAACAAGTTTACAACAGCTTCAAACACAGTCAAGATCAAGGGAGTCGACTTCTTATGACGCGAGCTGGGCTCCTGTTCAAAAGGAAGTTGATGTAGAAATAGAGATTGACCAGTCGAGCTTGCCCGACGCTGACGTCCACCAAAATATTTCATCTGATTCTGCAACTGCCGAAAACGAAAAACAACAAACAATCTGTTCACAAGCATCAGTTATAGTGTCTGAATCGATTTTTGAAGGATCTGAAACAGCTGAAACGGACGTGAACGATCGTGAATGTCGTAAAATTGATCTTGTACGCACAGAAACTGAATTGCCACCATTGCCAAACAGCACTGCCACCATTCCCGAATTGATGCTTGAAGATACTGAAAATACACTCGAAAACGCTGATAATGAGTTCCGAGAAATTATCTAGCCTAGTGAGTGAAGCAACTGATCAAAATCAAGTCCACTTGAAATCTGCATATACACAACTTATTAGTACTTGCGAAAGAGTTGTAACAATGGTTGAGGACGTGAAAGAGTCTGCAAAAGTTGGACTACAAGCAGTCCATAATCAAACAGAGGCTGAATCCGACATGCTTGAGGATAGCAATCTTATTGAACATGATCCAGCTAGAAGACCGGCAACGTTAACAAGAAACCAAACAAAGTACCTAATCCATCTTGGACCATATCAACCAAAACTATCTATTTATCCACGTAATCTTGAACTAACCAAGAAGGGAAAGCAGAGCTCATTTTCTCAATCATGGTTCGATGATTACCCTTACTTAGAGTACAGTATTTTAGCAAACAAGGCTTACTGCTTCGTGTGTAGTATATTTGGAAAAGAAGGCGATCAGAGAGAAAGATCAGAGAAAGCGTGGATAGAAGGTATCGATGATTGGTCTAAGATGAAAGGCAGTCGAGGCAAAAACAAACCAGGGAAACTACAAACCCACTTTAGCTGTGACGCTCACACTGCCGCAATTCATGACTATGCTATTTTTGTCCGAGAGGGTAACCATATCGATGAATTATTGTCAAAACAGCAGCGAAGAAGTATTATCGACGACGAAAGCGAAAAAGCGAAGAATAGAGAGGTTATCGAAATGCTTATTGATGTGACTAAAACACTGACAAGAAATGGAATAGCCCTTCGCGGAAACGACTCTGATGAAGACGGAAACTTCCGGCAGATCGTCTACCTTCTTTCACGACATAATCCTGTAATGAAAGCGTGGTTAGAAAACCGTTCGATGCGCAAGTACCACACAACGTATCTCAGTCCACAAAGTCAGAACGAGTTTATTAGTCTTCTGGGTGATGAAGTAAGAAGTCAAATAAGCTCTTGCGTAAAAGATGCTGGTTTCTGTTCGGTCATGGCAGACACTACACCCGATGTTAGTCACAGTGATGAGCTATCTGTTGCTGTCCGCTACGTTGATGTAGACTCTTGCTTGCCAAAAGAACGATTGGTGAGGGTGGTAGAGACTAAAGACAAGACTGGAGCTGGACAAGCCGAGGACATTGTGAAGTGTCTGGAGCTATCGCACATACCACTGTCAACTGCTATGTTTCAAACCTACGACTCAACTGCCAGTATGTCAGGAAGATTCAATGGCGCGCAACAGAAGCTGAGTGAGATGTTGGAGAGAAAGATTCCTTACACGAAGTGCACTCCACATGGTGTTAACCTCGTGGTAGAGCACGGTTGCTCAGCATCACCATTAATTGGTAAAGTATTTGCGGTTCTGGCGAAGATTTTTGTCTTCTTCACTGATAGTCCAAAAAGGAATCAACATCTGAAGGAGAAATCTGAGGAAGTTGGAAATTACCTGCAGCTGCGAAACCTTTCCAAAACAAGATGGACAGCCCGGCCCGAATCTGTGGAAGCCGTTTGGAGAGGTCTAGAGGCTATTTTATCAGCTCTCGACGCAATTACGAAAACTGGCGACCCAGACTCAAAGACAAAAGCAGCAGGACTGATTAATATGATTCTTAACATCGACTTCATTTGTGGAATAATGTTCTTAAAAAATGTAATGTACAAGACGAAATCACTTGCCGACTATCTTCAAGGAGAGACAGTTGATATTGCTAGCGCGCTTATTGCAATGGAGTCAACACATGATTGTCTGCGGAGAATCCGAATGGCTGACAAAGAAATCGACGACCAAATACTAGCTGCAATTGAAGTGGCCAGAAATCTCGGAGCTGACCCGATTGCTGATTTCTCAAGACTGCACAGAGTAAGGAGACCATCCAGACGCCTTGATGACCAACCAGAAACAACTGCAGTTGAGTTAACGAACGTATCCACCTTTTATCGCGCCGAATTTTTCAAGTTCATGGATCAAATGTGCACCACATTAATGGAGAAACAAATTGGTCTTAAGGACACTTTTAATCCGTTCCTAAAGGTATTGCACCCAGAAACACCAGGAACAATCCAGAACGTGCAAGAATTAGTAGGTGCGTTCCCGTCTGCGTTCTCGCAGGAATCAAGCTCAGCATTACACAGCGAATTGTCCATTTTCTTTGAATATGCGCTGAAGGAACACAGACGAATGGAAAAAGAACGTCAGTCACAAGGTCTTGAAGCAAAACCCATGACATGTACGATCGCTGCGAACATTGCTCTTAAGGTGGCCAAAAAGCATGGTCTTTTCAAGTTGGTTTCAAAGCTTTATAAACTATTTCTGACAGCCGCCCCTGCCGTTGTGAAAAATGAGAGATCATTCAGTTTATTGAAGATTGTAAAAGGTTATTCACGCAATAAAATATCTGGAGAACGTTTGAATGATTGCATGATCCTTGCCGCTGAAAAAGATATCACTGATGTCGTCGATGTAACTGCGATCGCGAAAAAATGGTCAATCTTGAAAAACCGCCGACTGGCGATTGCTTGAAAACAATAACTTACTATCGTTAACATTAGTTAACGAATAACTGCTATGTAACATTTATTTATTGTTCATTGTATGGGGAAACGCAGTTCTATAGTTCAGCTAAATTACATCAATTCACGTTTCTTTTTCCTACATAAAAAGGGCGAATAGACTGCTTCAACAAAAACTCGTTAAAATTGACTATAGTTATTGGAAGGCCGAGAGGTAACTAACTAATGTGACTGTTATGGTATTTTAGATTTAACTACCTAATTGATAAAATGAGTGTAGAGTGCTATTCTGAGTCGGAATACTTGGTTTGTATATGCTTAGAAGAACAAAAATAACCCAGACATATTCTAATGAGAAAAAGTAGATTAGGAAAGTAAAAAAATGTTGTAAAAATAAATAATGTGGGTTAAATATCTAGGTGATAACTGTGCAGGGGAGAAATGAACCACAACATTGCAGTCCGCCAAGATAGGGGGGGGGGTATATTTTCAGGTAAATTTTTACAATAGTGTAAAATCAGGTAAATTATTGCATTGCACCCCCCCAACTAGCACACCTTCGCTACGTCCCTGCATGAAACATTTAACATAGGTCCAAACTTGACTAAAAACATTCAATCTTCACCTAATTCGCATCGAAATTTTCTTTCTGGGCATTTCCCTAACTCAATATTTTTTAAATTAGCAACTAAATCAGAGATCATAGAAATTGCTTCAAATTTTCATTCTGGCAAAGCAGTTGGTCCTGACAAAATCCCTATTTCTATTATAAAACAATCAATAAATACAATTGCTGAACCCCTGACTCACATTATAAATCTGTCCATAACTCACAGCATTGTTTCCAATGAGATGAAGATTGCTCGTGTGATTCCTTTGTACAAAGCAGATGATCAGGCAGTGTTTACGAATTATAGACCATGCAGTTTCAATTCTTCCCAGTTTCTCAAAATTTTTAGAACAAATTATTTATAATCGCGTTTATTGGATTATTTGGGCAAATATAATGTG